ATGGTGTGTGTGATATTAAGGAGGAATAAAAAAAAATCTTCTATGTGCTTCCATTGTCTGGTTTTTGTTTAATTGCAGTTCTTGATCACAAGGTGTGGACTAGCAGAGAGCTGCCTTTTTTTTTTTTTTGCTGCATTCTTGCTTGTGTTTAACCGAGTCATGCTTGTAGTTATAACTGTATATAGGTACAATAATCAGGTGTTTTTTGTTTTGGCTTTGCTGCTTGCATGGTGTTTTCATGTCTTTCTTTTTAATGTTCAGAGAGACCTAAGATGTATGTATATAGTTTTTGTTTAATGACTAAGTTTTTCCTTTCTCTTGCAATTAGATGTTTATGTAATGAAATTCAAACTTGTGAGTGCTTGTGCATGTTTTGCCTCATGGGTATTTTCCAGCTTCTCCATGGCCATGACAAGGGTTTTCTCCTCCATTTTTTAATGAGAGGGTGTAGGAGGATGGCTAACTTTTACTTCTTTTTTTTTTTTCCCTCCAGCGTGATGCTCATAAACTTTGCTACTACTTCATTTTAAAGTGTCGATCACCTTTATTGAAGAAAGAGCTTACTTCCAACTCAAACCCTTTCATCATTTCCCTCAAAAACTGAAGTGGCAGATGAAATATAGTGGTGAAGTTTGTTTAACTACTTCTTAGTCTTCCTTAATGTATTGACTTAGTTGGCTTCACGTTTGGTGAATATGATCAGAAATTTTGTTTTGCCAAACCAGTGTTTATGGCATCGACATATTTTGTCCTTGGGCTTTATGTTTCCTGTGTCCTGTACATCTGTGTATCTTCAGCATTCCATAATTAGCATAGGTTTTCTTGTTCATGGAGATATGAGTTTGTTGGTCATATGTGATGCCTAATTTCCATTGGAATATGAACGTTGTGATCCCCCATCCTGCTGCAATCTAAAATTCTGCATCTCACTCTCCATCAGTCAGACTTGAATTGCTGAATTGACATATGCTTCTATTCAGTTTAGGTCCCTTGGCAGTTCTTTCTGTGCTGCGTGCAATAGTCTGTAGAAAATGATGAAATATCTAATTAAGACTGATTTAGTGCTGCTGATGTAAGCAGGTCCCTTTTTTTTTTTGGTTTTTTGGCTAGGTTCCTTGGCTTTTTTGTTACAGCAAAGTGTCCATAAGTTGTTAATTAGTTTAATCTAAAATCAAGATACATTAAGGTGCATGGTGTCTGCTTACTAATATATTGTATAAACTGCCAATGCCATTTGTTACCTTATGTTGAATGGATTTGTGGAACAAAGACTAAATTAATGCTTGTAGCTTTCAAGGTGGAATTGTCAATAATCTGTTTCTCTCATTTCTGTACCACAACATTCCAGATTATGCTACGTGCAAAGCAGCTTGGTACACTTTCTCAGTCAGCGAGGTCTTTTATTCTTAGTGGTTCAAGGTGTAGTGCAGCAGATGGAAGTTCATGCACTTGTTCTGAAGATGAGACCTGTGTTTCTGGGAGGCCTCATAGGAAACATGAATTGCCACAACGGGCAATATCATCCCCCGTTGTGTCTAGACCTTCGGTAGCAGTAGGTTCTCTCATTTCAAAAGATGCTGGAAAAACTGCGGACAATCAAAAACTGGATGTTAAGCATCCAGTCTCGCAGCCGCAAGTCACACCTGTCTCCAGCTCAATCAAAAGAGAAAATTGTGTAAATTATGCTGACTTTGATGGTACTGGTGTAATGCATCCATCACCTCCAATTGCTGACCAGTTTGTCAAGGCAGGCATTGCTGCTGTCGGCTTTTTGTCTGATTTGGTAAGTTATAAGATTTCAATGACAGATGGAGGTGGAATTCTTGGCTCACCTCAAAACTCTGTTGTTGAGCAGGCAAAGCCAATCCATGTCAGAGCTTCAAATGTTAAAACTGTAAGAAGAGAAAAAGTCCATCCGCAATCCCACCCTCATACCACAGCTGGATCAAGTGCAACAAATAACTCGAATGCTTCAAAGGGCAGAGCAGATAAATCTACTTCAGTGAAAAGTACTGGTAATTTGTCAAATAATGGAATGGGGAACTATGTGGAAGCCAATGGGATTGCTTTGGAATCTTGTGACAGGAAAAGATCAATGCCTCAGAGATCTAAAACCTACCCTAGTCACTTTGTTCCAAATGTGCACAATGGAGAAAAAAAGATAGTCAAAGACATGACTGAAGGTTTTGCTAGGTCTGTGAGAGAAACCAAGGTACTGAGAGGAGTTGCTCCTATTGCTAGGGAGTTTTCAGGCTCTGGCCATGTGGTTGATAATGTTTCTCACATGTTACAGCAGATGAAGTGGGGACCTGTAACTGAAGAGTCTCTTAGAAAACTCAACTGCTCTCTGGATGCTTTCCAAGCTAACAAAATTTTAAAGCAGCTTCAAGATTATACCGTTGCTCTTGGATTTTTCTATTGGTTGAAAAAGCAACCTGGGTTCAAGCATGATGGACATACCTACACCACCATGGTTGGTATCCTTGGCCGAGCCAGGCAATTTGGGGCAATAAACAAGTTGCTTGACCAAATGGTCATGGAGGGATGCCAACCTAATGTTGTAACATACAATCGACTTATTCACAGTTATGGCCGGGCAAACTATTTAAATGAGGCTATCAATGTCTTCAACAAGATGCAGAAGGCAGGCTGTCAACCTGACCGTGTAACCTATTGTACGCTTATTGATATTCATGCAAAAGCAGGGTATCTAGATGTTGCTATGGACATGTACCAGAGGATGCAAGAATTTGGGCTCTCTCCAGACACATTCACTTATAGTGTCATCATTAATTGTCTTGGGAAAGCTGGTCACTTGGCTGATGCTCATAAGCTGTTTTGCGAGATGGTTAATCAGGGATGCGTACCTAATTTAGTGACATACAATATCATGATTGCTCTGCATGCTAAGGCAAGGAATTACCAAAATGCTTTGCAGCTGTACCGTGACATGCAAAATGCTGGCTTTGATCCAGACAAAGTGACGTACAGCATAGTGATGGAGGTGCTTGGTCACTGTGGCTATCTGGAGGAAGCGGAGGCAGTTTTTGCTGAGATGAAAAGGAAGAACTGGGTTCCAGATGAGCCAGTGTATGGTCTTCTTGTGGACCTCTGGGGAAAGGTTGGGAATGCTGAAAAGGCCTGGGAATGGTATAGAGCCATGCTTAATGCAGGTTTACGCCCTAATGTGCCTACTTGTAATTCTCTTCTCAGTGCTTTTCTTAGGGTTCATCGACTCTCAGATGCATATAACCTGCTTCAGAGCATGCTTAGTTTGGGGCTCAATCCTTCTTTGCAAACTTACACCTTACTCCTTAGTTGTTGTACAGAAGCCAAAACATCATTTGACATGTCATTTTGTTGCCAGCTGATGGCTGTCACATGCCACCCAGCACATATGTTCTTGTTGTCCATGCCAGCAGCAGGACCTGACGGGCAGAATGTGAGGGATCATGTGAGCAACTTCTTAGATTTTATGCATAGTGAAGATAGAGAGAGTAAGAGGGGACTTGTGGATGCAGTAGTTGATTTTCTTCACAAGACAGGTCTTAAGGAGGAAGCTGGGTCTGTTTGGGAGGTTGCTGCACAGAAAAATGTTTATCCTGATGCTGTTAGGGAGAAAAGTTCTTGTTATTGGCTTATAAACTTGCACGTCATGTCGGATGGAACTGCTGTAACAGCACTGTCAAGGACACTTGCCTGGTTTCGTCGTCAGATGCTTGCTTCAGGGATTTGTCCAAGCCGGATCGATATTGTGACAGGCTGGGGCAGGAGGAGCAGGGTAACGGGGTCATCTCTGGTACGGCAGGCTGTGCAGGAGTTGCTTAACGTGTTTAGCTTCCCTTTTGTCACTGAGAATGGTAATTCTGGGTGTTTTGTGGGGTGTGGAGAACCTCTTAGCAGGTGGTTGGTGCAATCATATGTTGAGCGCATGCATTTGCTGTAGGTTCTGATAGGGGGAAGGTTTTGTATTCCCCCATCTTCAGGAAATTTTGTTGTGGAAGAGGAACTTTGATTGCCTCAGGGATTAGCATGTAATCGTCATGTACCTAAATGTTCTTATTGTGTAGTGTTAAGATCTAGTTTACATTAGTTTCTGTCCCCTTCCAGTTGCTTTCACTCAGTATTAGCTTCAAATGAGTCCTAAGCGTGAGTCAAATTTTGCTGGAGTCCTTCCATTGATCATGACAAATGGAAAGCTTAAAGCCTCTATGTCTTGAAAGCTGGTGAATAGTTTTGTTTGATTTGCTTCCCGAATCTGGAGCTGCTTCAAATCTGGTAATTGTCGTAAAGACATTGATTACTGGGCTTAAATTCCTTATTCCTTACTATATCACTCTGGACTTTTTCTTTGTATTTTACATTTGGGAGACGGTTCGAGCAAGTGGCAGGTGCTGCAGATGTGCTTGTCAAATGAAGTTGGGAGATGAAGTTCAAATTCGAAATATATTTTTGCCATTCGAAAGCTTTAGGCTTTGGCATGGCAAAAATTGATTTAGCAGGGTGAGCAGCTGCATCTAGTTTAACCTCTTCAAGCCAAAGAATCACACATATACGTTCAAACTTTGGTACCATCAGCAAGTAAAAACATAATCGATTCTCTAATCAAATCCAACTTTTGAGTTTTTAACAAGCACTTAACTTGTCTAAGCACTTACTTTAGAGTTTTGAACCGAGAAGAGCTGTAAGGAAAACAAACGACTTATTTGTGCCACATCAAATACGCAATGAATTTTTGTTACTAGTGCCTTGGGTTTTACCATACAACAATGGCCTTTGTTACCATTTCTGCAAGGTTTGTACAACAAACTCATCAAGGGATGAGCAATATGACCTGTTCAATGTCTGACGTTTTGGTTTCTTCCAAGTTGCATTCTGGATTTGATGCCAATATCAAGAGGTTGGTTTTCAACTCATTTCCTGAGCAGTTGCAATGAAAGCACCTAAAGGGTCAAATCAAAATTTCTCTTTTTTCGGCTCATTATTGTTTTCCATGTACGTTGGAGAACAGATGCAAACTTAAAATGGTATGGTATATAAATATGATACATTGTGAAGAAGGATCAATTGTTGCCATGAAAAAGTTACAATTTGGGTCAATGCAACATATAACTGAAACTGAAGTTCTTCCACGTCTCTAACAATTAGAACATCTTCAACCTTCAGATTTCCTTTTCTTATTCGATTTTTTTTGCTCAGGATGTTCTAATGATCCAGAAGAGACATCAGCTCTATGTTCTTTTCCTGAATCTTGGACAGAATGGTCAATGGACCTGCCTGGCTCATCCACAGGTCTTCTCAATGGACTCTTTGATGCATCCCCGGACCCAGAACTTCTGTTTCTTGGAGTACATATAGAGGAAGTATAGCCACTCACAGCCCCTAAACTTCTTGTCCTTGTACTTTGCGTAGGAGTTGTATAACGATGTGCTGAATTTGTCAAGGAAGCAGCAGACCTTTGCACCATTTGTTTAATGGCTAACCCACCAGATTTCAGTTCAGTGGGCTCCGGATAATGCAGTAGAGAAACGCGCCGTGAGATCTTCCCAGCTGTTACCACATATAAGTCATATTCAAGTGTAGCGTCATTGAAAACAATAACAGCATCGAGCTATATTTCATTCACACGAAAATCTGGAATGAGATCTTAGATTCTCTAGCTTTAAATAAACCATTTGAGCAAAACCATAATTGGATTTGTTGTTTTAGTTTTACATGATTCTGCTAGCAATACCTATTTCGTCAAACTGCACGGAAACTTTTGCATGCAACAAGGCCTATGATATTAGAAATCCATAGAGTAATTTAGGACATGCCTTTGTTAATATAGATTCAAACTCAACATCTTAAGTAGGTAACCGGAATAGGTTTCTCTATCTTCACTTTCCTTGTTTTAACAATTCAAATAGAAACTCATAACTTGCTTTGACTGTAATATTTTTTTGGCCAACCAATGTTCAACTTAGAACCTACTCCAATTATGGGAGCTTGATGGATATTTCTCCAGAGAGTTCTCTCCTAAAAGAGCTGCATTTGGATATAAAAAGCATGCACTTTACAATGATTGTCAATTTATTGTTTTTCCCAGATAAAATAAAAACGGCACTTGTGACTCAACCAATAAAAACAATAATAGTAGCCATTGCATGTTAAATATGCAGATAATTACCGATTCTGGACTCTGATGTTGATGACAGGAATACAGTCGCTTCTGGGTCCTGTGACTTGAAACTTACCACTTCATACGATTTTCCTATGACAATATTGACATAAAACAATGCCATCCATCATCATCGTTGACATAATCTTGGATTTCAACAAATTTAGAAATCACTTTTGCACAAAACCATCAAATGCAGTGAAGTGATTAGTGACATAGCAGTACCAGATGAACCCTCGAAACTACCCAGATGTCCATCATGGTGAAGCTTCAAAGACACTTGCTGTCCATTCAAATCAGAAGCCTGGAACACCCAAAAGCATGATAATGTAAAACGTAAAACAAACAACGAAAGCACTAACAAAATTTAGGCTTCATATTACCAGACTGACTACTCTTCTGCAATAACTAGCAATCACCATCAAATTCACCAAATTATGAACGGCAACGCATCGTCTATTGTACAATCTTTCAAAATTTTCAAATTTTACTCGAGTTGATTAAAGTCAAGAAAGATTAACAGAATATTAACTGAAAATTAATTTCTAAAAATTGATCGTTTTCAATTAATTGCACATTAACAAAAATTAATGATCTCTCAACTGGAAAATTCAGCATAACTGGAGCTAAAAGTATGAGAAAACTAATGAAAAATGATAAGCGAAAGCAGAAATAAAAGTAATTAGATTAAAAAAAAAAGTTACTTGATTAACGGGCCATTGAATCAGCCAGAGTTCCTTCGAATCGTCAAGATTGAGTTCAATAAGAGCGTCCTTTTTCACTTCTTCAAATTCTTCTGGAGGTCTATACGTCGCGAGTTCTTCGCTACTACTGCCCTCCATTGGTTTTTAGGGTTTATCTTCCAGTGGCGGAGCATGTTCCTGAAGCAACGCAGGTTAAAGGGTTGGGTTAATTTTACGTACCTCCCCTGAGGTTTTTGACAATTGCAGAAAAGTGCCCTCAATTTCTAAAAGTTACACCTGTCTCCCCTAATTTCACTATTTAAATAACATTCTAGACCCAAAAGGCTATACTTTTTTTCCAAAATTCCTATAATGCCCTTGAGTTATAATTCACAAAAAAATTGTTAAAGAAAAAAATGGTTTAAAGTCTCTATTTTATTTATATTTATTTCGTACCACTATTACCTATTTATCAACATCCAAATCACCGCTAAATAAACACTTATCTTTGTTCTAATATTCCTCTTTTACCTAAAAATTTCTGATGCAGACCATTGTATCAATTATAAATGCTATATCATATACGCAAAAACTTACCTACAATTTCATAACAATATCAAATTTTACTTAATATATTACAATATTCATTAATATCCCTAAATTTCAATTCTATGGTTGCTACCTTTTTAATACAAAATAATCTAAACCATCACTACTAATATCAATATCCAATATATTCCATTGGCACAGAGTTTAAAATCCATCAAATTCTCTCTATAGGAATAATATCAATAATTGTAAATAAAAAAAATAAAAACACAATGCAGTTATAAATATATACCAAAAATATTTTTTTTCATGATAACCATAACAGTATAACCTATATTTGGTTCCTATTTCACTTCTTATCCTTAATTTTTATTTATTTTTTATCACTGTCACTATCTTCATCTCCATCTAATTTGATAATGAAATTAACACTCAATTTGTCATTTGACAATTTCAGTTTGCTAATACCTATCAAAAATTGGAAATAAAAATGGGCGCAAGAAAACTATTTACTAATATTGGAAAATCGAGGATTGGGAATAGATACCAAGATATATAAGTATTGGTGGTTTAATGTGTATGACGATTTTATTAGTAGCGACAGTATACATTTGGTTGATAATAATAAATAAATGAATTTAAAAGAAAAATAGATATATGAGGAAGAGAACAGATAGTTAAATAGCAAAAACTGTGGTTTGAATTATTGGTTAATAATAGATGAGAGAGTTTTAATATTTTATAAAATTTTTCAATAACTTGACAATTAATAAAGGCCATTATTGTCTTTTTATCATAACAAGAGAGGTCTCTGTAATCATGTAAATCTCAAGGGAGTCAAGTGAAATTGTCGAAAACCTCAGGTGAGGTTTCTAAAATTATCCCTAAAGGGTTTTAGCTGAGGACTGAAATAATAAGTAGGGCGTGAAAAAGCTACAAAGAAGGACACTTATTTTGCTAATAAGCCCTTTAACTTCGATGCTATCCTAATTTTGGATTGATAAAATATTAATTACATATATAATTAAGGTTTGTGTTCGATAACTCAGTTTAGCACTCAAACTTTTTAATACATTTAGACATATTTGATAACAAAAAATAGAAAATCTGAATTAATTAATCGACACTGAAATTTTTAGGCAAAACTTACTCTCAAAATTAAGTGATAAGTTATTCACTTATCACTTAATGTGATACACACTCAAATGTATTAAATCTAGTACTTAACGATTTAAAAAATTAATTGATTCAAACTTCAGATTTTAAAGTTTAAACTTCAGTTTTTAGATTTCAATTCTATCAAATGCACTCTTATGGCTAGTTTGGGAGATGAGATTTGATAGGAAAAGAAAAGAAAGTGGGAGGAAGGAATATTTTTCTTTCATTTGCGAGTTTAATCACGATAGAAAACAAAGGATTTGGTCTGATTTGGACGGGATTCAGTGTTTGAATCCCACTATTGATTCCCTCTAGTGTTTGAATTCTATTGTCAATGTGAGAGTTGTATTGTTGGATGATTTGTAACAATTTTTGTAAACGATATACTATTCTAGAGGTATGCCCAAAAGAATTTGGCCTGCTTTTGAGGGATTCAGTGTTTGAATCTCACTGTTGAAGTGAAAACTATGTTATTGAGTGATTTGTGAGAACTTTTGTAAGCGATATATGATTCCGGAACTATGTCCAAAAACATTAAAAATAAGTGATAGTTCATATACAAATGTCTCAGTTGCATGTCCTGACCAGTAGTGATAATCAATCGGAGTCGAATTCATTTAAACAAATTTTTTTTCCTCCCCAAAAATGGGTAGTTCATAAAATTTACGGTATCACCGTATGACAATAGTAGCTCTCCATTATTGTAAAAAAAAAAAAATTAATAGTTTTGCTTTTTAACCTATTTGATTGAGACCAAAAATTATCTCGCGAGCAAATCACAGCCACGCATTTTAAAAGATGAAAATTTGAGCCAATCTGGACCCTTAATCTTCGCTAACTGGCAATGGCGACGATCCTCATGCTCATCAGCTTCCACTGTAAAGTACTCCATACACTACTACTTACTAACGAAAGATACATTTCGCATTTTCCCAAAACCTCCCCAACCATACCATTTGCGGTTTGGTGCATTGTATTGTGTACACACACAGTCTCGCGCACCACCAACTCATATTCAATTATTCATATAGCAGTAGTACAAAACACCCTATAAAACAACAAAAGTCTGATTCAGGCTGTTGAAAAAAGACAAATTGCCTCAGGGTTGAAAGGGTATTGGGTGGTAGTATCCCACTTAGCAGCAGGTCCCCCCTATAGGTACATTTGTCCCACATCGGGGTTGGGGTTGGGTTTGGGTTGGGATATAAGTCCCTGGGATTGCCTCAAGAGTTGCCGGCTTTTGAGGTTAATTCTGGGATTAGGTTTATAAAACAACAAAAGTCTGATTCAGGCTGTTGAAAAAAGTAGTACAAAACACCCACACGCTGAATTTGGTCATCTTCAATTCCCCCCGTCGCCCCCCACACCGCCTACCCACCATTCCCCCGCCTATCGCCACCCTCGACCACCGCCGGTCCTCCTCCACTTTCACTCTCGATCGATCACTTGTGATGCTCGGACAGTCTGTTTCCTCAGTCTCAACTTCGTCCCCGCATTTTCTCTCTCTGCCCCCAAAGTAAGTTGCTCTCTCCTTTCTCTGTTTTTTTTTTTGTAATCTTTTTGGAGCTTTCTTTCTGTAGAATCCCTGCTCTGCGGGTAATTTTGAGGTTTTGTGGTTCAAATGTTGGATTTTGATGCGTGAATTTATGCATGCGATTTTTTGTTTTTCTGTAGAAGAGACTGATACGTATGGGGCACAAGAAGCGAAACTCCGCTGCCCGCTCCAAACCCTCGGTTTCTTCACCGGCGGCTGTTTCTCCTTCCCCTCCGGCCGTGGTGTCAGCTGCTGGCGACGGTGCTGTTGCATCAGCCGAACAGCCAGAAAACCTAATCTCGTTGAATCCGTCGATTAATACAGCTGAAGCTCCGTTGAGCACTGAGTCAGAAAACAGGTCGGAAAGCCTTAATTCAGCTTCTTCTTCCTCCTTAGCATCGACTTCTTATGCTTCTATTAAAGGTGAATGTGAGCGTGCTTTGACGGCCTTGCGCCGGGGAAATCATACTAAAGCCCTTAGATTGATGAAGGAATTGTCTTCCAAGCATGAGAGTTCTCCCCATTCTGCTTTGATTCACCGTGTTCAAGGGACTGTGTGTGTCAAAGTGGCATCCATTATCGATGATCCTAATTCTAAGCAGCGGCATTTGAAAAATGCCATAGACAGTGCGCGTAAAGCGGTTACTTTGTCGCCTAATTCGATTGAGTTTGCTCATTTTTATGCTAACCTGATATATGAAGCTGCAAATGAGGGGAAGGAGTACGAAGAGGTTGTGCAGGAGTGTGAGAGAGCATTGGCGATTGAGAATCCAGTTGACCCTGGGAAGGAGAGCTTGCAGGATGAGAGTCAGCAGAAGTTAACTCCAGCTGAGGCCAGGATTGCTCACGTGCAGAGTGAGCTTCGGTCACTGATCCAGAAGTCGAACATTGCATCCATCTCGACTTGGATGAAGAACTTGGGGAATGGGGAGGAGAAATTTAGGTTGATTCCTATAAGGAGGGTCTCAGAGGATCCAATGGAATTGAGGTTGGTTCAAACAAGACGGCCAAATGAGATAAAGAAGGCAACTAAGACGCCTGAGGAGAGGAGGAAGGAGATTGAGGTTCGGGTGGCTGCTGCCAGGTTGTTGCAACAGAAGTCAGAGTCACCCTTGTCACAGGCTGATGGTGACAGGATTTTGGATTCATCTTCTGGGTCAGGACAGAGAATGGGAGAGAGACGGAAAAGTGGAAGTGCTAGGAAGAATGCATCTTCTGCTGAGAGGAAGGACTGGGTCAGGTCATTTTGGAATTCCATGAGTTTGGATAAGAAGAAAGATCTGCTTAGGGTTAGGGTTTCAGATCTTAAGGCTCATTTTAGTTTGTCCAAGGATGGGGTAGCAAATGAGGTGATCTCTGAAGCTTTGACATTTGCTGAAGCTAATAAAGACTGGAATTTTTTTGTTTGCTGCCGATGCAATGAAAAATTTGCAGATGCAGACTCTCACATACATCACGTTTTACGTGAACATATGGGGATTTTGTTGCCAAAAATGGAGAGAGTTATACCTAAAATTGTGGAGAATGAGTGGGCTGAGATGCTTCTCAATTGTCACTGGAAGCCACTGGACGTTAGTACAGCTATAAAAACCCTTGGAGAACAATCAAAAGCTCACGGGTCTGAATTTCTTGATGAGTCTTATCCCAGAAACGAGACTGAAGATTTCAATGAATGCTTTGCTGACAGTTACTGTAATGAAGATGAGTGGGATTCTTCACCTAGGAAAAAAGAATCAGGGGATAACTGCAATGGTAGTAGTATTAAGAGCAAAGAGTATGATAAGATCTCAGACATTGTTTGGATGGACTGTGATGATAATCAAGAAACTAAGGCATGCTTCCCTCAGGATAGCTGGCCAGTGTCTGATGACATTGAGCGTGCAAAGCTTCTTGAGAGAATCCATACCATCTTCCAGGCCCTCATAAAACATAAATATCTTGCTTCAAGTCATCTCAACAAGGTTATGCGATTTGCAGTGGAGGAGTTGCAAGGGCTAGCTTATGGTTCACAACTTCTTAATCATAACATTGACCAAACACCTTTGTGCATCTGCTTCCTGGGTGCTCCAGAGTTGAAAAAAATTCTGAAATTTATACAGGAGCTTTATCATTCTTGTGGCTTAGGTAGATATCCTGATAAAGGTAATGCAGTGGATGATTCAAATAGTGGGACTCAAGGTGTAAAGGTTTTGGAGAAGTTAGTTTTGAGTGAAGATGCTTCATGTTTAAGTTTGGATGAGCATTTCTTGCCACAAAAGCATATTCCCAGCTCTTGCCATAGTGTAGTAACTGGGGATATTAGTGCTGCAAATTTACCTGATATGAGCAATGACAGTGGTAATTTACTTGACTCTGATGCTTTATTATCCTGGATATTTTTCGGTCCTTCAAGTGGGGAACAGTTGGCATCATGGATGCGGGGGAGAGAAGAGAAAGCACAACAGGGTATCGAAATTCTCCAGGTACTTGAGAAGGAATTTTACAACCTACAGGGCTTGTGTGAGAGAAAATTGGAGCATTTAAGTTATGATGAGGCACTGCAGGCTGTTGAGGATCTCTGTTTAGAAGAAGGTAAGAAAAGGGAGCATGTAACTGAATTTGTCCGGAGAAGTTACGAGTCTGTTTTAAGGAAACGACGAGAGGATCTCATTGAATGTGATAATGAACTTACCATTATGAGCAATAGGTTTGAATTGGATGCTATATCAAATATCTTGAAGGAAGCAGAGTCTCTAAATGTTAATCAGTTTGGATTTGAGGAAAATTATGGTGGCATGACATCTCAATTATGTGACTTGGAATCTGGTGAAGACGAAGATTGGAGAACGAGGGATTATCTGCATCAGGTTGACTCCTGTGTAGAAGTTGCGATATCTAGACAAAAAGAACATGTGTCTGTTGAGGTTGGTGCTTTACTCATTGATTGATCCTTTTCCTACATGTGAATTGTACTACTATGCTACTTATCCTTACTTTCTGTAAATGCAGCTCAGTAAAATTGATGCAAGAATTATGCGAGTAATAGCTGCGATGCAGCAGTTGGAAGCTAAACTTGAGCCTGCATCTGCTTTTGATTACCGGGCAATCTTAGTACCCCTAGTGAAGTCATATATGCGGGTTTGTTTTGGACTTTCTTACATTCTAGTTGACTCATCCTATGCTTTTGCTCACTTTTTTAATTTTGATGGCTTTGTCTTGTTGTCTTTCTTTATGTTCTCTCTCCAGGCTCACTTGGAGGATCTTGCAGAGAAAGATGCCACAGAGAAATCTGATGCCGCCAGAGAAGCATTTTTGGCAGAACTTGCTCTTGATTCTAAGAAGGGCAGCAGCGGAGGAAGTGATAATGCTCGTCATATGCATGAGAAAACAAAAGATAAGAAAAAGAACAAGGATTTTCGAAAAGCCAAGGATTCAAAGGTTCGAATTTCGTGTTGAGATATCCCTTTGTGTTACCGCCTTCCTAGTTGGTAGTTTATTGCTCAGCTGGAGCATTTATGGTTGGCAATTTATTCCTTTTCAGGCTAATAGTGGCAGTGAGCTACATATGCTTTCCTCAGAGACTACTAAAGAAATGTATGTTTGTTTTCTAGTCATTGAGCATGTTAATGTGAACGATCTGAAGTTGATCTTTGTTTTATAAATACGAGTAAGGTTTTGTTGCAGCTCATATCCAGTCACACACGAGGGAGAAGATATACATGCTGAGATAGTGAATGCTGGAAATGGTGACACCTTAGAACAAGAGGAAGAGGAATTCAGGCGTAGAATTGAGCTTGAAGCTGAGGAGAGAAAGCTAGAAGAAACTTTGGAATATCAAAGGCGTATTGAAAATGAAGCTAAACAGAAGCATCTAGCTGAGCAACATAAGAGAACTGTAGGGATAAATCCAGAAAAAGTTGCAGCAATTGCTCACTCTGATACTTACTTGAAGCAACAGGAAGATGATCATGATGTCAATGTCCAATGGAAATATAGAAAAAAAGTAAGTATTTTATATTTGTAACTCCTGGAATAAAAAATAGATGGATATTTGGTGCCTTTCGGCTTTCTTTCTTCGAGTCATATCTTGTCAAGTGCTGCTTATTGTGTAGTTTGCAGAGGACATTATTGAACAGACTGTAACTTATGACCTGCAACTTTTAGGAACCCATGGTACAGAAGAATGGATTTTCAAATGCCATGGAAGGTTTTCTAGAGGATGGCGTTGAAGGAGTTGGACAAAAAGCTGGTAACTTTACTTGGCTGTGTAATTGTTAATTTGTTTTTGCAATATGGTTTAGGATTTTTAGAATTGGAATGCTTGTAACTTCTTGGAGTTTGGCCATGTCTTATAGGCTTGCCCAACGGAGGAAGCATAGAGGATGGCCTGTTGCCTTCTGATCGACGGTCAGGAAGGAGAAATAGACGGCAAAAAGGTGCAGCTAGACTTAACCAGCCCGTGCTATCAGAAAAGGAAAACTTGGAATTCAAATCCTTGGATGAAGCACATGGTGAGTTCAATATATGCATTTCACTTTATAATGAACTCTTTTGATGCGTATTATTTTGGAAACAGTTTTAAGTTGAATTTTAGTTTATGATTTGCTCATAACTTCAATACTCTAATGGGAACTTTAACAACTGTATAATACTTCAGAATGATTTGAAGACTCTGTTGATCCTAACTTTTGGGCGATCCTAACTCTTGCGCCCTGTCATAGAATGTGTTCCTTTGGTGGGTTTAGGTGAACGATTAAGTATCTACTTTGAATTCATTGGTGGGCATATTCTTTCTCACCTGGCCATTTGCTAGTTAACAATTTTTTTAATTTATTTTTCCGAGTTAACTAGTTGATATGTTTGAGTGTCTTTTGCTTTTTAACTTTCTTGTAGTTTCCTGTTTGTCATGCATCAAGACATTGGCATGTTGGTTTTGTTCTTGTGGTTTCCAGCTGATTCTCAGTCAACTGGATGTTATTGGGTTCCATCCATCTTGTCTCTTTGTCTGATCATTATCATTTGAGTTTGCTCCCTTTCATTGTTTTCTTCTTCTTGTTTCACTTTCTTCTGTGGTGTTGGCAGCAGTGCTCTCCTATACGTGATTGAAGGGGTTTTTTGGTCCTTGGCTAGAGTTAAATGTGCAACCTCATGTACATGCAAAACGATTCAGAAACTGAGCATCATGAATTTCTTAGTTGTTTTTAGTAATTAATCTCATAACTTTAATCGACTCTTCTCATAGTCAAATTCTGATAGGACTACATATCTCTTTATTCATGCTTGATTGAATTTGCTTCATTGACCTTCTTTCTTTCGGTTTAAGTCCACCACATGGTTAAAAGTTTGTTCATTGTTTCTTAGGCTGTCTTACTTGACTAGCTTGGCCTTATTTTAGGTAAATGTTTTGGCCAGTTCATTGAGGTGGTTTATCTTGAGGTTCTATATCATATTAGTAAATATTTGGGCTGATATGAATAAAGTATTTCCATTTTGTCTTATTTTTTGATTTGGTGTTTTCAATGTAAAAATTGTATCAATGGGATTGGCAAGCGTGCAAAGGCAGATCGCTTGTATTTTAGCTGTGCGTAATTTGACGAGACTCGAATATTTTATGGAACTTAGAGAAGTTTTTCTATCATTTTTTTTTACTCTCTTTGGACATTTGGGTTTCTTGTTTAATTCTTTTTTTTTAAGGATGTAGATGGAGAATGAGGAGGACAGGTTGTATTTTGAACATTAAAAAAGAAGGAAGAAACAGACAAACATCTCTTGCCTTGGCAGGTGCCAAGAGGGGTTCAGTGTGGTGTTTGGAACCCATGAACCAATTTGGAGAATGACTGAAAAGAAGTAATGTTTTTCCCGAGTTAAGTTTATGTGCAAAAAGTCAAAGATATATACACTAGCACAGCTTATCTACGGATCTTGTGGTTTTGACTGGATGAGTTTTTGATGGGACTCATGACGGAAAAAGACAAATATTTTGAATTTATTGCTTTTGTTGATAGATGAAATCTGTATCTCCATTTTGGTTATTTATTGATTTATTGAGGGAGGCTATGCAACTCTACCAAATGTGAACTTCCTCGGTGAGGACTGTCAAATTAGAAATCTGATCTGCATAATAATTGAGGTAAATACTGAACCTTATGAGGTGTTGCCTCCCTTGGTAGTGTTTCGAGACCCTTCACCCTACTCCACAATTGTAACCTGGGCACTACATGAAAGAGATGGGACCACTATCAGTCTGCCGCTTCCGGTGTTCGAGCGGCTTCATTCCTTTTTCATTTCCTCTTTCCCAGTTCCTAGCTCCAAGACTGGTGGAAGAAGGGGCAAGAGTGGTTTAGCTCTTACACCTTCCTACGCAAACAGCTGCTCTTAGACATTCTCTTTTCGTGTTGCTAGAGTTATTTCTTCCTAGTTGTTTCTCTCCTTTCATTTTGAAAGTGAAACCAAAGGAAAAAAGGAAGAAATGAAAAGACAACACTGAGCATCAAGCTAAGAAGTTGCATTGTCCTGTCTGTCTCATCCTTGAGGGAGAGAGGAGCTGTATAAATGCAGGATGCTTGTGCTCATTAAGTGGTTGCTTATGCCCTGTTCAGTGTTAAACAACCAAGATAAAAGGATAAAAATAGGTTACTCTTTGTTGTATTATCAGGTTATAAGGGGGAATTTCATACAATGATAATCAGTAATTGTAGCCAACTCCTGAAGGTTGAGGGTAATAACCAATCTAGTCATTAGTCATGGTGGATAAAAGTCGTGTGGTCTTTAGCTGCTCTTTGCAATAGATTCATTTGATGCATTAGAGTTTTCATCTGTCCTGCAAGTCATAGTGCTTCAAACAAGCATCAGATATTAACGGTTGTGGTAGTTGGGACGCTTTATTGGTAGGTAGATTTAGGATTGTTGACTTTTGAACTGTCTTTTAATGTAGAATAATTTGATGGTAATAGTCAGTTTTTTAGTTTTTCTTTGTTTTTGGGGGCAGGGGTGTGTGAGGGGTAGGGAAATAGTCATAACTTTGTATTAAGTGTGAAGCATAAGTTGGGTCTTGGGTTTCAGTGATGGTCAACCAATTAGGAGGCCCCAAACGAGAGGCATTTTTTTTTTTTTTTGCTTTTGCATTCTTCTTGGTGGAAGTATATGGGAATTTTTTTGCTTGTTTTTGTTGAAAGTGAATCAAATAGCATTTTTTCCTCAGTTCTTTAATGTAATTGTGAGAGATTTGTCCCAAAATCCATATGTGCATGTCATGTCTAACTAAAAAATTGTTGACCAGATATGAAAGAGAAGCAGGAAGCTTGTGAGCTTTTTGGTATCTTACTTTTAACTTTCATATTGATACCTTCCATAAAATTTAGTATTTTACTAACAAAATTGATATTGACAACTAGCAGATGATTTTGAACAAAAAACATTTGGAACAAAAAACTGCATATGGTATTGGTTGTGCGATCATTAGTTTGGTAGACGTTTGGAACTTTAGATGGATATTCAGATTTTATTTGATAGGTTGACATATCGAATATGTGCACATAATTAGTATTTTATGAAGTATGAGCTGCTTGATGTCTCTCACCTGGTTTGAACTCTGCTGTGGAAATTGGTGCAGGAGTTCGAAATTTCCAAGAAAATACTGGATCATTATCCATTCGGTATCAGTTTGGAAATACTGAAGTAAAAAATATGTTTGATGATTGAGAATCCAGTTTTTGGTTAAAGCCGAGTGAAACCAACATCTGAAATCAAGCTTTTATCCAACTTTGAACAATTGGCATTTTTGATGTGTTGAATTTTTTATACCTGTAGTTGTACTGAAAATTTTGCTGGGCACCGATGAATCTCAGAGAGTGAATATCTGTGGGTTTCTTCTGAGTGGTAGGGTAGGTTCTTTGTTTTGGATGTCCTTAAGATTTTTCCCTGAAATGCTTTTCTCTCTGTTAGCAGTTATTTTATGCTTGTTTTTTTTATGGAGTATGGAAAGGGTTGTGTGTCTTAACCTAGAAATGAATGACAGTGAACATGGCTTGACAAATTTTGCCATAGGGATGTCCTATCTAATGTTTTCATAAGGTTTAGAGGTGATCATCTTGTTGATGTGGTCTAAGATAATGCTTTTCAATGCTTTACTATTGCAAGTTCTTGGCCGATCCTCATTTTCCCTGTTAAAGTTCAAGGAGACTGGTATAATCTCACTCCTGTTGCAATTAGTTCGATACATAAATGAAAGTTCGTTGTTGTTTTCCAGAGTGTTTATTGTCATTGTAATGGAATTAACTTTTCTTCAAATCGCACATTTTTTCATTTTACATTACTTTTGTAACTTCATGTAACATTTATAGTATTCTCCTGTCTTTTTTAGATGCACACTCTGATTTCTATCATTTCACATTGCTTTTGTTATTTCATGTAACATTTACAGTATTCTCCTGTCTTTTTTGATGCACACTCTGATTTCTATCATATTTGTTGCTCATCCTAATAGCATGTTTTTAAGAGATTTACTGTATTATGTTACAACTGCACAATTATTTGAAAGATTAACAATCCTGTTCTTTTGTTTTAGTTTCTTTTTCCTGCAGAATTAACTTTTAAGATTTCCTATGATATCTTTTTATTTGAGTTCATCTTTTAGTAAAGATTTACAGGATAAAATTATTCTTTCTTTTTCTTATTTTTGGAGGAAAAATATCATTATTCTTGTCCTGCAGATGATGGAACAAAGACATTGAGACAACTACAGGCAGAGGAGGATGATGAAGAAAGGTTCCAAGCTGACCTCAAGAAAGCTGTACGCCAAAGTCTTGGTTTGTCTCTTTCTCCAGACATGATGTGCTTGTTCTTTGTTTTAAATTATTTTGTTTGCTGGTTTAGCTAATTATTTAGTGAGTCATCAGTTCATGTTGTATATTTTACCTGTGTAGCATATTAGAATTAGTATAATCTTTTGAACTTTTCATTTTTTTAAGATTTAAAATCTTGTGCTGTCTATGAAGAATCCATTGCGTGCTTTCCTATCTCTGTGTTTGGAGTGCTGTTATTTGCTTTTAATCTTTTTTTTGGAGAAATCAAGAATTGCATTGGGTCACTGATGATTTACGTATACATGCATGTATTTATGTATGTAATTTTATACATGTATGTGATTGTTGTGTTGTTTCTGTCTGTAGTGAACATGCATATATTTGGATTTTTTTGTCAGAGTCTTCTACAAACAAGTGAGCAATTTTTTTCCTGATGCCAATTTTTTTGGAAGATGCAGAATGACCTTATTCTCTTCTGAGTACAGCCTCATTCAGCTTGTCTAAAGCTTCCTTTTGCATGTACTATGTTGGAAAATTTGCCCGCAAGAATGAATGGGATCTCTTATATGAAAAAAGATTAGTTGCCTCATTTTGGAAGATAACTTGTCCTGATTTCTGGATTTTCCCAAACCTGTTTGTTGTGATCATGAACAAAATTTCCTGGCTTAATCAGTACTTGTCTGCAAAAATAAAAAAATTACTAAAGGATAGGGTGGTTTGGTGAATTTGGTAAAGATTGCAACACAACTAACTTTCTTGGCTTTTGACCCAGGGACTATGACTAAATTTAGTCTGATCATTAGAGATATTTCATGGTGGTGCGCTTGCTTGCAAATTCAGTGTTATAGTTTCTCATGAGTCAATTAAATAACTTGTACCTGATGTTTCCATCTTTTTGTGTTGTTAATGCCAGATTCTTTTCACGCGCATCAGAAATTGCCTCTTGCAGCGAAGTTGGGAATGCCGCCCAAAACCTTTCCTGCAGCAACTGACTCAGTCATTTCAGCTGATGAGATCATGACTGAAAACTTAGATCAGATGGATGTATATGGTACAGGGTTAAAGAATGAAATTGGCGAATACAATTGCTTTTTAAATGTCATTATTCAGGTTTGATATAGGAACCTTTTCCATGTATTACTTTGTTATTGTGGTGTTGGCTTCTTCTTGGGGTCAACGATTAGCTTGGTTTTTTTTTATCTTCAAGTATCATGTCTATGCTGAGTTCTGTTATTTTTGGCGTCTTTTATTTTCAGTCTTTGTGGCACTTACGACGGTTTAGAGATGAATTTTTGAGGAGGTCATTATCAGAACATGTACATGTTGGGGATCCTTGTGTTGTATGTGCATTATATGATATTTTTGCTGCTCTGAACACTGCTTCAGTGGATGCACAAAGAGAAGCTGTTGCCCCTACTTCCCTGAGAATTGCCCTTAGCAACCTCTATCCGGATAGTAATTTCTTCCAAGAAGTAAATCTTTGAGCTGTTTCTGGTGGTTCTTCTTTATTATTTATTTTTTTTTCAAGTTTTCCTTCTATCTGCAATTTTATTAGCCTGTAAAACCTACAGGAGTGAATGCTTGTGGTGTCTGATTACTCCTCAGTTCATAAATTTTGGCTAACACGAATGCTACATACAGGGACAAATGAATGATGCTTCAGAAGTGTTGGGCGTCATATTTGATTGCCTTCATCGATCATTTACTTCAACCATGTGTACTTCTGATGCCGAATCATTAGATAGCAACTGCATGGGCTCTTGGGATTGCACAAATGGTGCTTGCGTTGCACATTCTCTTTTTGGCATGGACATATTTGAAAGAATGAATTGTTACAATTGTGGTCTGGAGTCCAGACACTTAAAGTATACTTCATTCTTCCACAATATCAATGCCAGTGCTCTGCGTACTATGAAGGTATATTATGTTTGAGTCTGGTCAAATATCTAAGTTTATTACATAAATGATAGTGGAAACTCTTATCCTCTTAACAAAAAATGTGGTTGTCTGGGGATACCTTTCAGGTTATGTGTCCAGAAAGCTCTTTTGATGAGCTTCTGAACCTTGTTGAGATGAATCACCAATTAGCTTGTGATCCTGAAGCTGGTGGCTGTGGAAAGCTTAACTACATCCATCATATTCTGTCGACCCCACCACATGTTTTCACAACAGGTATCTATCTGTTTTTTTGTTTGTTTCAGTCTTTTGCCTAAATGAAAGAGTGAATTGGATGTCGAAAGAACTACTTTTTTTGTTCATTGTCGATATTGCAGAAGATCTAAATTACCTCTTTGCCTATGCATCTTTCAGTTTTGGGTTGGCAGAATACCTGTGAACATGTTGATGACATAAAGGCCACATTGACAGCCTTATCTACAGAGATGGATATCAGTGTCCTTTATCGTGGTCTTGATCCAAAAAATAGGCACTGCTTGGTCTCAGTGGTATGCATCTTTGGATTATGTTTTGGTGATTATGAGCGAACTTGTATCTGAAAACTGGATTAGTTGTCCTATCATTACTGGTCTCAACTATTGTTACTTTTCTGGAAAAGTTTGATTATTTGCTCATTTTTGCGTCCTTTAACATTTCAATATAATCAGATAAGAGGTTCCTTAGACTTGCATACAAATATGTGGTACGTGCAGATGTGCAAGGCAAAAGTCCATTAAATTGTGCTTATTTTTCTCTGTTTCAGGGGATCTTATACCGGTCAAGAGTCTTGGTTTCCTTGATTTGGAACTAGCATTAGATCTTCTGCTTCCCTTTTCCCCTAAATCATTGCTTTTTCTTTTTCCTGTACTCTAAAATTTATTTTTTTTTAAAAAGAGACGCAGCTAAGGTAGGTATGCATACATGAGTTCATATATTTCCCATTAAAGTTTTGATGGCTGTTTTTTTATCAGATATCTAAAAGATGTTGAATTCCTTGTGATTCTCTGATTTTTCTAGAGAATTTTGTGTTTCTTCATTTCGTATCAAGTGAGACTTGGAAACAACAATTAAGCTTTATATGACAAGATGAATTTTGCATTTCTGTCTTAGTTGGTAATTTATTTTAAATAATTCACTTGGTTGGAGTTATGAAAGAATTCATGAAGAAGCTTATGAACCTTGCGTGATATTTATAGCTATTTGATTGAACAGTTAGTTAGAAGGTTTAAATGGTTTAAGCATTCTACTCAAGCTTCACAATAGGTTACTGAATACTGTTCAAATTGATGACATAAGCTGTGTCATGGCTAATTATCATTTGTAACTCTTTTACTTTTATGCTGGATGTCAAATGCAACATTGTCAAATCCCTAGAGAAGATAAGAAAAAAATATTAAGAGATTCTGATTGAACAGTTAGAAGGTTTAAATGATTTGAGCATTCTACTTAAGCTTCACAAATGTATGTTTACTAATATTACAGCTTGGTTATTTGTGGGCTAAAAATATTTAAAACTCTTGAAACATCTGTTGTGGGGGTAAGTATTTTTTTTTTCCAAGAAATAAGGGAAAAGCTATATGACCTCAAAGCTGCACTTGATACATGATTAAAATAATTGTTCACTTTCTTGAGTGTGGTTGAAAATTCCAGCCAAAATTCATAATTGATAATTATAAGGGCAAATTGGACACTTTGCAAATTGTCTGGTGTGTCTCTATCTATGGCATCTTTAATTTATCCTTGGCATTCTTTCTAATTTTATCAGTATTTTCTTTGTTCTTTTTTAGCTTTCAGATATCTTACCTGATTCCATTTAAGATTATCTTAAGCCACCACCAAAACATCTACAGTGACCCCAGAAGTTTATTTTGGTGGTGGTGTTGGTTTTTTTTCTTTTTTTTTTGTTCGGTTTTTTTTTTTTTGGGGGTGGGGGTGGGAAGGGTTCATATTTGTTGAAAAATAGAATCTTAAGACTTCAAGTATGATACATATTTTAATAAAACTTTGGAGTATAATTGTCTGAATAGAAGTAATGTGAAGAAGGGAAGTTTGTTACAAAACCAAATGTTGCAAGACTATGAATGACATTTATTCTCGGTAAGTTTTATTCTTGGCAAGAATATGAGGGATTTGAGAGTTTACTATATTTCCAAATTTACAAGGAGTTATGAAGATCATCTAAGAATAATAGAATTTTAAATCTGTGATTCTGCAGGTAAATTACTGAACGGAGAGCGCAAACTTGCTTGAATAATTTTGCATTAACTATACTTCTAGTGAATGTCATTAGCCATAAGGATCAGTTGGCTCCTGGGATTAAAGGGTTGCACTACCATCTGGTCCTATCCCAATTTTTGAGTTTTGGACCATTGATGCTTAATTCCACTGAACATTTATCCCTTGGATAAATAAATAATTTCTTGCTTGATTCCAGTTTAATTGTCTTTGATAACAAGACCACTATTTGACTTATTTGTGGCCAATGACATATCAAGATCATAAGAGAACCGAAAGAAGTTACACATGGATGATGTGCTCATATATGTTGCTTGATATCAATTATCTGGCAGATTTTACTTTGAAAAGCAAACCATAGGAAAGTTACTTTAAGGAGAATTAGACATGCCATTATTAATTCCCTAATAACCATTCTTACCTAGTATCTACCTTACCAGAGAGCATTTGGTTGTTTGGAGAATCTCTTTCTGAATATAATAGTATGTTTAGTTTTGTACCTTTGCCTTTTGAATTGAGCTATATTTATGCACTCCACGAATATTTTATCATTTTGGTAAAGGCTCTTTTTTTTTTGGATGGGGTTCGGGCATTTTTTTTTTTGTGTTGTTTTTTTTTGTGGGGGGGGGGGGGGTGAACTGTGATATGTTTAGTTGCTCTGATTCAAGCCATCATTTTTTAACTCCACTTGTTTGACATTAGATATACGTGTATCAGATACTCTGGCGCACTCTTAGCAAAGATAAATATGTCAACAGAGAAACCTTCCCTTTAAATGCTGTTCTCTCTCTCTCTCTCTCTCACACGTGCACACACACACCCCTCTTCTGAAAAATATGTTGCTTAAAATTCCTGATCTTTTCAGCACCATGGACAAGATACAATGAACAACTTCTAATGCATTTAAATGCTATTCGATAGCTTGTGAAGTGGTTATTTTAGTTGTATTAGTGATGAATGTGAATGGACCCTCATCTTTGAAAAAGAATGGTGGAAAATTTTTTTTCTAATGGTCTTTTTTCAATTTCTTTTCTAGGTTTGCTATTACGGGCAGCATTATCACTGTTTTGCGTACAGTCAGGATCATGAACGGTGGCTTATGTATGACGACAAAACCGTGAAGGTAAATCTCCTTTGTCTTGCTTTTATACCTTCTATACCTTTGTTTCATGAAACAAGTAAACATCTGAGGTTTGAAATATAGGTAATTGGTGGCTGGGAGGATGTTCTTACCATGTGTGAGAGAGGGCATTTGCAACCTCAAGTCCTCTTTTTTGAAGCCGTGAATTAGTGTGATGGGAGTTCATCGCATAAATTATATATTTACCATGGGCTACAAGTCGCTCGTTGAACGCATCCATGAATTGATATACTTGCCGTGTACAGCTAGCTCTTCAAGATGCATACTTCCTTTAATATAATAGGGGAAGTTGGAAATGTCACGAGTCCAGAGTTGTAAAATACGAGTAAAAGGAGATTTTGTTGTGTATTTCAGGAGGAGAGCAGGAGACATTGGCCTGCAGCAAAGTTTTGTCTGAAGATTAGTGAGTAAATTGAACCGAGAGAGTAGACTTTGGTGCTAACTAGCCTGTTGAACTGAGCCTTTGTTGGTGTTGGAGTTTTCTTTTAACCAGGCATCTCAGAAAACGAGGCATTTCGGCTGTAAAAATAGGATTAAGTGACCGTTGAGGGCCACAAGTTGCCTGCCTGGCCCTTAAATTAAATAGTTGGAGCATGTGAAATGGCAGCCTCTAAGTGGCATTTGGCAACTAGCACCTTTTGTTAGCGGATGGATCCTTGCTACAGATGTATACAGGAAAGTTTAGTTTATTAGTTTCATATATTATAGCTCATTGTTTTCCAGTACGATGAGGAAGCTGTGTACAGATGAGATGTTTACCCTTTAGGGGTTACCTACCACCTCAGCCCCATAGTAAGTCTGCATTTTGCAATGCTTAAAATTTTGCAGAAAAGTTTTGGGTAGCTTATTGTGACGAGGGACTCTGTAATAGGGTGGATGATGATGATGATGATGATGATGGTGGTGGTGGTGGTGGTGGTGGTGGTGGTGGTGTTACAATTGATAAAAGCGAGATCATGTGCCCTTCTAATACTGATCTACTTTTTCCTAATTTGCTTTAGCTTCCTTCACCCTCCACACACACACCCCCACCCATCCACATGCCCCAAAAAAGACCAAGAACCGGACTTTTTCAAGTAAATAGAGGGAAACTATCCTATATTTTTTCAAGCAAATATCCAATTAATTATCATTTTTATAGAGAATAAAAGCAACGCTGAAAACAAATATCGTGAAAGTAACATTTTTGAAATACAGGGAAATTATCTTACATTGTTTAGAACGAGAATGTAATTAATGATCACTTTTATTGGCAAGCATTTTTTGTAAAACAAATATTTTTATTTATTTATAGACAGATATCTAACTAATTATCGCTTTGTATTTGCTATATTTATTTTATGTCACTAGGTCTTAAAATGTAAAAGCTATCAGCTAATAATTTAATATAATTAACAAAAACTGTTCAACTAGGATTTTTATATGAATATAAGGTAATACAAAGGAGCAAAATTGATTTATAATTTATTGGGCAAACAAGGAATTTTTGTCCATAAATTTATTTTGGTGAGAAAATGAATATTTCTAGAGATGCAAATTTTTTGTGCATGTATTTATGTCATGCAGAAAATTCATACATACATTTTGCAGAAAATTCATATACGAAAAATAAAAACGGAGACAATTAATATATCTAGATTCTAGACTCAAATTTTGCTGAAAATTCATATCCTATTATAAAAACGAACACAACCAATACATGTATATTGTAGATTCATATGTAGTTTTTTTTAGGGAAACAAAGGTAGAGGTATGTAGGGGTGTGCAAAATCGAAAAATTTCGATTTATCGACCGAATTCGAATTGAATTCGGAATTTTGAATTCAGTAATTCGGAATGGAAATCAGAATATCTGATTTCAAATTAGACAAAATCGGATCGAATTCGGTAACGGGATTTTTCAAATTGGAAATTAGGATTTCGAATTCACAATTCGAAATCGGAATTTGGAATTCTTATTTCGATTTCAAATATGTTTTTCACATATATATATAATATTATATATATATAATATAACATTTATATTATTATAATAATTTTTATATTCTTGAATTTGGTGATTTGGAATTCCTATTTCGATTTCAAATTCATTTTCATATATATATTTTTATATATATGTAATATAACATTTATATAATAATAATAATAATATTATTATTATTATTATTAATATATATTCATGAATTTGGTGAAATCGAAATTTACCGAATTTCGAATTGAATTCGAAATCGAAATCGGTCAAAAATTTTGATACCAAAATTTCAAAAAATTTCGATTTCAATATTTCGAATTATCGATTTCGATTCCGATTCACATCCCTGGAGGCATGACAGCCAAAGACCACAAAGTACAAAATTGGGATATTAATTACAAAGAATAAGGACATAATCGGAATGTAAACGATCATAAAATCGAAATAAGGACACCAATACTATAAGATATCAACTCCACAGCCAGAGAAAAGACACAAAAGTCCAAAATCAGCACCCGAATTACACGGAAACCAGGACAATTGACTGTAGATGAGGATTTGCGGCTTTATGTAGTTTAGGATAGGATTAGGATTCCTGTTCTGTATTAAAACCAATGTTTTCAAACCCGAATTGGACCGGCCGGTTCGACCGAGATCCGGTCATGTGTTCGGTTCGATTCATAGCTTGTGTTGACTTGGTCCATGAACCGATCAAACTCGTAAAAAACCATTGAAACCGTTAAACCCAGGTCGAACCGTGAACCGCGGTTTTTTAATTTTTGGCAAAATTGATTGAATTTTGACCGAAATTAGCTAAAGTCTAAACCTAGTCTTTAGTTCACTCTTCAATTTCTTTGCTTTGCCGCCACTTCAGTCTTAACCCTTTGGCTTTGGTCTTCAATCTTCATGCTTCCTGCCTTCCTCTGCAATTGCTGCCGTCCCTAATCCATTCTCCAAAGTCAAAACTCCAAACTCTAATCTTGATCCATAGCAATTTCCACACTTGCTCATCGATCAATACCCAATTTCTTGCCGTTGGATTTTCCTCCAGGAATTTGGGCGATAACCAGTTCAGCGGCCCAATACTTGCCTCACTGTCAAAGAAGAATGGCTTAAATTTAGTGTAAGCTTGCTCAAAATTTAATCTCATCCTCGTTTTGGTTCCATTATATAGAGTTTCGGTATTGCATGACGTTAATGTTTACCTCTGTTTCGGTATTGCATGACGTTAATGTTTTACTTTCTTGTTTCTTGTTGCTGGAAACATCTTTGCTTTTGGTCTCTTTGTATCTCCCATGTGAGTGTTATCCTTGATCTTTTGATTGTTGTTGACAGAAAATTACTTTCACTGAAAATATATTAGATAAATTATTAATCATCAACCAGCCTCTCTCTGACTGAAAATCTGTACAAAATGGAAAAGTTTTCAGTTCTCATTTGTTGTTCTGTTTGCATCTTTATATCCAGACCTACATTCCAAAGGATTATAACTTATAAGGAACAAAACAACTGAACAGTTTTCTGGGTTGCCGTATATATATGCTCTCATGAACTGCTTGATCTGTGCCTGGTATGGCTCACCTCTGTTCTTTGATTTTGCTGTAAGTCAGGTTCTTCATGAGATGTGTGCCAATAGTATTACTAAGCTGGGGAAAGTTTCATAGATGTGTGCCATGCAGTCAGGTTCTTCATGAGCCAAGAGTAATATTTTTACTGATGATCACGTCTAACTGAAGTTAATTGCGCCAAATCTGTCCTGAAAAAAGTTGTCCGTACTCTGGAATTCTTCCAATTAAGCTATGTAATGTGAATCTGCTTTCGGTAGTGTTTGGTTTATCTATATAGCCTAACAGATTCCATGCACAACAAAAACTGACATGTGTTGATCCACACTAGTCACTATCAAGCAAAGGGTTTAGGATTTAGCATAGCATCTATCCAAATATATATCTCAAAGAACCTTCAACTTTTTAACTCCTTTTCTTCTTTTGCATTAAACAATTCAAATAAGTTAGCAATCCCACCACCTTCACCTTGCATCTGCATGCCCGTATAAATACATGTCCACATCTCAACAATCTGGAACCAAGCCAAGTCTTCCATCCAATCATCAACATTTAATTCTTCATCGATCTATAACCAGAATTTTTCAAAATCCATCAGTAAAATTTGAATCTTGACCTTTTCTTCTCTCTTTCAGACCTTTTCTTCTTTAATACAATATTATTAAATGGATCGCATAGCAAAATTGGCTTCACAGAAGGCTGTTGTGATTTTCAGCAAGAGTTCATGTTGCATGTGCCATGCAGTCAGGTTCTTCATGAGCCAATAGTATTACTAAGCTGGGGAAAGTTTCATAGATGTGTGTCAATGGGGAAAGTATTACTTCTATACTTTTGCCGATGATGATGTTTTATATGTCTTTGGAGGTGTCAAAGAAGTTTGACTTTGGGAAAGGGAAGTTGTATGATGTAAATTGCCTTTTGTATATTTTAGTTTTGGCAATTATTACGAGACTAGGATTATCTTTTGCTAAGGATTACAAGACTATTTTAGTTTTGGCAATTAGTTTTGGACCTTTTGATTGTTTTATAGATTTGTATTGTTTTTTGTTAATTCTAATATTTAGACAATTGGACATGTAAGTTGGATAACTATGTTAATTGTGTGTGTGTTAATTGTTGGATATTGCTCTTATGTTAATTGTGGTTTAGCATTTATATCTTATTCTGTGCATAGGTGTGTGTGTGTCTATATATATATATATATATATAATTATTTATTTATTTATTGAACCGGTCCGACCGGTTGAACCTCGACTCTTTTACTTCGCCGGTTCAATTAACGGTCCGGGTTTTAAAACATTGACTAAAAGTTAACCTGCGTCACTTCCAGTTCTGTACTAAAACTCCACCGCTAAAACCCTAAAAACCGATGGAGGGGAGTAGCAGCGAAGAACTCGCGATGTATAGAGCTCCAGAAGAATTTGAAGAAGTGAAAAAGGACCCTCTTATTGAACTCAATTTAAACGATTCAAAGGAGCTCTGGCTGATTCAATGGCCCGTTAATCAAGTAACCTTTTTTTTAATCCAATTACTTTTATTTCTGCTTTCGCTTATCATTTTCATTAGTTTTCTCATACTTTTAGCTCCATTTATGCGGGATTTTCCAGTTGAGAGATCATTAATTTTTGTTAATGTGCAATTAATTGAAAACGATCAAGTTTTAGAAATTAATTTTCAGTTAATATTCTGTTAATCTTTCTTGACTTTAATCAACTTGAGTAAAATTTGAAAATTTTAAAAGATTGTACAATAGAGGATGCTTTGCCATTCATAATTTGGTGAATTTGATGGTGATTGCTGGTTATTGCAGAAGAGAAGTCAGTCTAGTAATATGAAGCCTAAATTTTGTTAGTGCTGTGGTTGTTTGTTTTACGTGTTACATTATCATGCTTTTGGGTGTTCAGGCTCCTGATTTGAATGGACAGCAAGTGTCTTTAAAGTTTCACCATGATGGACATCTGGGTAGTTTCGAGGGTTCATCTGGTACTGCTATTTTTCCCGATCACTTTTATGTTATTCCATTGTTTCTTGCATTTGATGGTTTTGTGCAAAAGTGGTTTCTAAATTTGTTAAAATCCAAGATTATGCCAACGATGATGATGGATGGCATTGTTTTGTGTCAATACTGTCATAGGAAAATCGTATGAAGTGGTAAGTTTCAAATCACAGGAGCCAGAAGCGACTGTATTCCTGTCATCAACATCAGAGTCCAGAATCGGTAATTATCTGCGATTTAACATGCAATGGCTACTATTATTGTTGTTATTGGTTGAGTCACGAGTGGCGTTTTTATTTTATCTGAGAAAAATAATAAATTGGCAATCATTGTAAAGTGCATGCTTTTTATATCCAAATGCAGCTCTTTTAGGAGAGAAGTTTCTGGAGAAATATCCATCAAGCTCCCATAATTGGAGTAGGTTCTAAGTTGAACATTGGTTGGCCAAAAAAATATTACAGTCAAAGCAAGTTATGAGTTATTTGAGTTGTTGAAACAGGAAAAGTGAAGATAGAGAAACCTATTCGGGTTACCTATTTAAGATGTTGAGTTTGAGTCTATATTAACAAAGGCATGTCCTAAATTACTCTATGGATTTATAATATAACGGACCTTGTTGCATGCAAAAGTTTCTGTGAAGTTTGACGAAATAGGTATTGCTAGCAGAATCATGTAAAACTAAAACAACAAATCCAATTATGGTTTTGCTCAAATGGTTTATATAAAGCTAGAGAATCAAAGATCTCACTCCAGATTTTCGTGTGAATGAAATGTAGCTCGATGCTGTTATTGTTTTCAATGACGCTACACTTGAATATGACTTATATGTGGTAACAGCTGGGAAGATCTCACGGCGCGTTTCTCTACTGCATTATCCGGAGCCCAGTGAACTGAAATCTGGTGGGTTAGCCATTAAACAAATGGTGCAAAGGTCTGCTGCTTCCTTGACAAGTTCAGCACATCGTTATACAACTCCTACGCAAAGTACAAGGACAAGAAGTTTAGGGGCTGTGAGTGGCTATACTTCCTCTATACGTACTCCAAGAAACAGAAGTTCTGGGTCCGGGGATGCATCAAAGAGTCCATTGAGAAGACCTGTGGATGAGCCAGGCAGGTCCATTGACCATTCTGTCCAAGATTCAGGAAAAGAACATAGAGCTGATGTCTCTTCTGGATCATTAGAACATCCTGAGCAAAAAAAATCGAATAAGAAAAGGAAATTTGAAGGTTGAAGATGTTCTGATTGTTAGAGACGTGGAAGAACTTCAGTTTCAGTTATATGTTGCATTGATCCAAATTTTAACTTTTTCATGGCAACAATTGATCCTTCTTCACAATGTAGCCTATTTATATACCGTACCAATTTTAAGTTTGGATCTGTTCTCCAATGTGCATGGAAAACAATGAGCTGAAAAAAGAGAAATTTTGATTTGACCATTAAGGTGCTTTCATTGCAACCCGCTCAGGAAATGAGTTCAAAACCAACCATTTGATATAAGCATCAAATCCAGAATGCAACTTGGAAGTAACCAAAATGTCAGACATTGCACGGATCATATTGCTCACCCCTTGATGAGTTTGTTGTACAAACCTTGCAGAAATGGTAACAAAGGGCATTGTTGTTGGCACAAATAAGTTGTTTGTTTTCCTTACAGTTCTTCTCGATTCAAAACTAAAGTAAGTGCTTAGTCAAGTAAGGCTCGTAAGGCTTGGTGGGATGAAAGGTCAAGAATTCGAACCTTGCTCTACACCATCTACCACTATATGTGGCCAGCCACTTTAAAAGTGGTTCCAAACGGGTGCGTAGTGCTCTCGTCTGGACCGGTGGTGGTTCAGTCCCTACTGGTTTCCCCTTGCTTTCCACCATCTACCACTATATGTGGCCAGCCACTTTAAAAGTGGTTCCAAACGGGTGCGTAGTGCTCTCGTTTGGACCGGTGGTCGTTCAGTCCCTACTGGTTTCCCCTTGAGTCTCTTCAGGTCCTCCCTTCCCCCCCCCTTCCCCCGTAGCATAGAATAACATGTAGGTCTATCATATCCGGCAAAAAAAAGAAAAGTAAAAAAGTGGGAGAACGAGGGATTATCTGCATTAGGTTGACTCCTGTGTAGGACAAAAGGAACGTGTGTCTGTTGAGGTTGGTGCTTTACTCATTGATTGATCCTTTTCCTACATGTGAATTGTACTACTATGCTACTTATCCTTACTTTCTGTAAATGCAGCTCAGTAAAATCGATGCAAGAATTATGCGAGTAATAGCTGCGATGCAGCAGTTGGAAGCTAAACTTGAGCCTGCATCTGCTTTTGATTACCGGGCAATCTTTGTTTTGGACTTTCTTACATTCTAGTTGACTCATCTTATGCTTTTGCTCACTTTTTTAATTTTGATGGCTTTGTCTTGTTGTCTTTCTTTATGTTCCCTTTTTCCAGGCTCACTTGGAGGATCTTGCGGAGAAAGATGCCACAGAGAAATCTGATGCCGCCAGAGAAGCATTTTTGGCAGAACTTGCTCTTGATTCTAAGAAGGGCAGCAGCGGAGGAAGTGATAATGCTCGTCATATGCATGAGAAAACAAAGGATAAGAAAAAGAGCAAGGATTTTCGAAAAGCCAAGGATTCAAAGGTTCGAATTTCGTGTTGAGATATCCCTTTGTGTTACCGCCTTCCTAGTTGGTAGTTTATTGCTCAGCTGGAGCATTTATGGTTGGCAATTTATTCCTTTTCAGGCTAATAGTGGCAGTGAGCTACATATGCTTTCCTCAGAGACTACTAAAGAAATGTATGTTTGTTTTCTAGTCATTGAGCATGTTAATGTGAACGATCTGAAGTTGATCTTTGTTTTATAAATACGAGTAAGGTTTTGTTGCAGCTCATATCCAGTCACACACGAGGGAGAAGATATACATGCTGAGATAGTGAATGCTGGAAATGGTGACACCTTAGAACAAGAGGAAGAGGAATTCAGGCGTAGAATTGAGCTTGAAGCTGAGGAGAGAAAGCTAGAAGAAACTTTGGAATATCAAAGGCGTATTGAAAATGAAGCTAAACAGAAGCATCTAGCTGAGCAACATAAGAGAACTGTGGGGATAAATCCAGAAAAAGTTGCAGCAATTGCTCACTCTGATACTTACTTGAAGCAACAGCAAGATGATCATGATGTCAATGTCCAATGGAAATATAGAAAAAAAAGTGAGTATTTTATGTTTGTAACTCCTGGAATAAAAAATAGATGGATATTTGGTGTCTTTCAGCTTTCTTTCTTCGAGTCATATCTTGTCAAGTGCTGCTTATTGTGTAGTTTGCAGAGGACGTTATTGAACAGACTGTAACTTATGACCTGCAACTTTTAGGAACCCATGGTACAGAGGAATGGATTTTCAAATGCCATGGAAGGTTTTCCAGAGGATGGTGTTGGAGGAGTTGGACAAAAAGCTGGTAACTTTTCTTGGCTGTGTAAATGTTAATTTGTTTTTGCAAGGATTTTTAGAATTGGAATGCTTGTAACTTCTTGGAGTTGGCCATGTCTTATAGGCTTGCCCAACGGGGGAAGCTTAGAGGATGGCCTTTTGCCTCTGATCGACGGTCAGGAAGGAGAAATAGACGGCAAAAATGTGCAACTAGACTTAACCAGCCCGTGCTATCAGAAAAGGAAAACTTGGAATTGAAAACCTTGGATGAAGCACATGGTGAGTTCAATATATACATTTCACTTTAAAATGAAGGCTCTTTTGATGTGTATCATTTTGGAAACAGTTTTAAGTTGAATTTTAGTTTATGATTTGCTCATGAGATCGGTACTCTAATGGGAACTTTAACAACTGTGTAAGACTTCAGAATGATTTGAAGACTCTGTTGATCCTAAGTCTTGCGCCCTGTCATAGAATGTGTTCCTTTGATGGTTTTAGGTGAACGATTAAGTATCTACTTTGAATTCATCTTTGTGCATAATCTTTCTCACCTAGCCATTTGCTAGTTAACAATTTTTTTGATTTATTTTTCCGAGTTAACTAGCTGATATGTTTGAGTGTCTTTTGGTTTTAACTTTCTTGTAGTTTCCAGTTTGTCATGCATCGAGACATTGGCATGTTGGTTTTGTTCTTGTGGTTTCCAGCTGATTCTCAGTCAACTGGATGTTATTGGGTTCCAACCTTCTTGTCTTTTTGTATGATCATTATCGTTTGAGTTTGCTCCCTTTCATTGTTTTCTTCTTCTTGTTTCACTTTCTTCTGTGGTGGTGGCAGCAGTGCTCTCCTACACGTGATTGAAGGGGTTTTTTGGTCCTTGGCTTAGAGTTAAATGTGCAACTTCATGTACATGCAAAATGATTCAGAAACTGAGCTTCATGAATTTCCAGAGTGTTTATTGTCATTGTAATGGAATTAACTTTTCTTCAAATCACACATGTTTTCATTTTACATTGTTTTTGTAACTTCATGTAACGTTTATAGCATTCTTCCGTCTTTTTTTGATACACACTGATTTCTATCAGTTTACATTGCTTTTGTTATTTCATGTAACATTTACAGTATTCTCCTGTCTTTTTTTGATGCACACACTGATTTCTATCATATTTGGTGCTCATCCTAATGGCATGTTTTTAAGAGATTTACTGTATTATGTTACAACTGCACAATTATTTGACAGATTAACAATCCTGTTCTTTTGTTTTAGTTTCTTTTTCTGCAGAATTAACTTTTAAGATTTCCTATGATATCTTTTTACTTGAGTTCATCTTTTAGTAAGATTTACAGGATAAAATTATTCTTTCTTTTTCTTTTTTTTTATCATTGTTCTTGTCCTGCAGATGATGCAACAAAGACATTGAGACAACTACAGGCAGAGGAGGATGCTGAAGAAAGGTTCCAAGCTGACCTCAAGAAAGCTGTACGCCAAATTCTTGGTTTGTCTCTTTCTCAAGACATGATATGCTTATTCTTTGTTTTAAATTATTTTGTTTGCTGGTTTAGCTAATTATTTAGTGAGTCATCAGTTCCACTTATAGTTCATGGTGTATATTTTACCTGTGTAGTATATTAGAATTAGTATAATCTTTTGAACTTTTCCATTTTTGTAAGATTTAAAATCTTGTGCTGTCTATGAAGAATCCATTGCGTGTTTTCCTATCTCTGTGTTTGGAGTGCTGTTATTTGCTTTTAGTCTTTTTTTTTGGAGAAATCAAGAATTGCAGGGGGTCACTGATGATTTACGTATACATGCATGTATTTATGTATGTAATTTTATACATGTATGTGATTGTTGTGTTGTTTCTGTCTGTAGTGAACATGCATATATTTGGATTGTTTTTGTCAGAGTCTTCTACAAACAAGTGAGCAATTTTTTTCCTGATACCAAATTTTTTGGAAGATGCAGAATGACCTTATTCTCTTCTGAGTACAGCCTCATTCAGCTTGTCTAAAGCTTCCTTTTGCATGTACTATGTTGGAAAATTTGCCCACAAGAATGAATGGGATCTCTTATATGAAAAAGATTAGTTTCCTCATTTTGGAAGATAACTTGGCCTGATTTCTGGCTTTTCCCAAACCTGTTTGTTGTGATCATGAACAAATTTTCCTGGCTTAATCAGTACTTGTCTGCAAAATAAAAAAATTACTAAAGGATAAGGTGGTTTGGTGAATTTGGTAATGATTGCAACACAACTAACTTTCTTGCGTTTTGACCCAGGGACTATGACTAAATTTAGTCTGATCATTAGAGATATTTCATGGTGATGTACTTGCTTGCAAATTCATTGTTATAGTTTCTTATACCTGATGTTTCCATCTTTTTGTGTTTTTAATGCCAGATTCTTTTCACGCGCATCAGAAATTGCCTCTTGCAGCGAAGTTGGGAATGCCACCCAAAACCTTTCCTGCAACAACTGACTCAGTCATTTAAGCTGATGAGATCATGACTGAAACCTTAGATCAGATGGATGTATATGGTACAGGGTTAAAGAATGAAATTGGCGAATACAATTGCTTTTTAAATGTCATTATTCAGGTTTGATATAGGAACCTTGTCCCTGTATTACTTTGTCATTGTGGTGTTGGCTTCTTCTTGGGGTCAACGATTAGCTTGGTTTTTTTTATCTTCAAGTATCATGTCTATGCTGAGCTCTGCTATTTTTGGCGTCTTTTATTTTCAGTCTTTGTGGCACTTACAATGGTTTCGAGATGAATTTTTGAGGAGGTCATTATCAGAACATGTACATGTTGGGGATCCTTGTGTTGTATGTGCATTATATGATATTTTTTCTGCTCTGAACACTGCTTCAGTGGATGCACGAAGAGAAGCTGTTGCCCCTACTTCCCTGAGAATTGCTCTTAGCAACCTCTATCCGGATATTAATTTCTTCCAAGAAGTAAATCTTTGAGCTGTTTCTGGTGGTTCTTCTTTATTATTATTTTTTTTTTCAAGTTTTCCTTCTATCTGCAATTTTATTAGCCTGTAAAACCTACAGGAGTGAATGCTTGTGGTGTCTGATTACTCCTCAGTTCATAAATTTTGGCTAACACAAATGCTACATACAGGGACAGATGAATGATGCTTCTGAAGTGTTGGGTGTCATATTTGATTGCCTTCATCGATTATTTACCTCAACCATGTGTACTTCTGATGCCGAATCATTAGATAGCAACTGCATGGACTCTTGGGATTGCACAAATGGTGCTTGCGTTGCACATTCTCTTTTTGGCATGGACATATTTGAAAGAATGAATTGTTACAATTGTGGTCTGGAGTCCAGACATTTAATGTACACTTCATTCTTCCACAATATCAATGCCAGTGCTCTGCGTACTATGAAGGTATATTATGTTTGAGTCTGGTCAAATATCTAAGTTTGTTACATAAATTATAGTGGAAACTCTTATCCTCTTAACAAAAAATGTGGTTGTCTGCGGATACCTTTCAGGTTATATGTCCAGAAAGCTCTTTTGATGAGCTTCTGAACCTTGTTGAGATGAATCACCAATTAGCTTGTGATCCTGAAGCTGGTGGCTGTGGAAAGCTTAACTACATCCATCATATTCTGTCGACCCCACCACATGTTTTCACAACAGGTATCTATCTGTTTTTTTGGTTTTTTTCAGTCTTTTGCCTAAATGCAAGAGTGAATTGGATGTCGAAAGAACTACTTTTTTTGTTCATTGTCGATATTGCAGAAGATCTAAATTACCTCTTTGCCTATGCATCTTTCAGTTTTGGGTTGGCAGAATACCTGTGAACATGTTGATGACATAACGGCCACATTGACAGCCTTATCTACAGAGATGGATATCAGTGTCCTTTATCGTGGTCTTGATCCAAAAAATAGGCACTGCTTGGTCTCAGTGGTATGCATCTTTGGATTGTGTTTTGGTGATTATAAGCGAACTTTTATCCGAAAACTGGATTAGTTGTCCTATCATTACTGGTCCCAACTATTGTTATTTTTCTGGAAAAGTTTGATCATTTGTTTATTTTTGCATCCTTTAACATTTCAATATAATCAGATAAGAGGTTCCTTAGACTTGCATACAAATATGTGGTACGTGCAGATGTGCAAGGCAAAGGTCCATTAAATTGTGCTTACTTTTCTCTGTTTCAGAGGATCTTATGCTGGTCAAGAGTCTTGGAAAAGAGATGCATGTGCGACTTTCAAATGCGACATATATATTTGAATACGAAATCTTGCTCAAATCTACTGTTGGAGTAGCTGAATTTAAGACCTTCATGCATTTATCTCTTCTTATGTGCCCCCCCAACACTCCCTTCTTTCCCTGTAATTATTAAAACATAGAGTTCCTATTTGTATAAACAATTTAAAAAAAAAAAAGAGAGAGAGAGAAGTTCGGGTAGAAATTGAATTTCTAATTAGAAGAACAATATCCAGGTAATTAAACCTCGTCATTTATGCTGATCTGTATCCTACATGAATGTACAAGCTTTCTATAGAAAGAAAATAAGAAAATTAAATTTTTTACCAAAAAAAATGAAGAACAAGAACGTAATTCCACAATGGACTGGTATACAAGGGCTCTTCCGGAGTAGATCCATCCACATCCACCCAACGGAAAACACCATCTAAAATCATGAGTAGTGCTAGCAAATTTGTACTCAAGCTTGCCATTTCTCTTTGTTTCCTTGCTCAATTACGTCTGCAGGTTTCTTGCTCAAGTTCCGCCATTGAATTGGAGGGTGATGGTTCATACAAGCAAGTGTTCCTCCACATCAACAATTCCCTCACAAATGACTCCCCTGCATTAGTTGTTCATTGTCAATCATCCAAAGGTCTTGATTTCGGCAACGTATCGCTTCCAGTTAGAAGCGAATTTAACACCGTCTTTCTTGCAGATTCGACCGGACAACCTACCTACTCTTGCCACTTTTGGTGGGATCCCAAGCAACAAGAGTTCTACGTCTATGATAAAGACATAGATGGGCAGTGTCTGAGTGCAGCTGAAGCTGGACCTGCACAAGAAGTTCCGACCATTTCATGTTACTGGCATGTACAGACGGACGGTTTTTACCTTGGTACTAAGGATACATCAGATGAAAAGTTTCATGATTGGTGATCCTGTCCCGAGTAAATGATTAGTCAAAGAGGGGAAACATAGGCCTGGTGATTATTAAGGCATTAAGATTCTCTTTTGCTGGATGTAAAGATAGATTAAGAATGATTGCCATTGCCTTCACAACATAAATTTCAGGATGGCCCTATTAAGATTAATGCTGTGACTAAAAGAGTACACCTCTTTTTCTAGATTAATCATGTGCTTGCTAATTCTCCTCACAAAGTAACTACAGGTCCCTGCAAAAGGCTCTCCCTTTACTTATTTATTTGAGCCCTACCATAAACCATACAACAAAACAAGAGTTACCACCACATAGTTAGCCAGATGATGACATACCACGGCTGAATAATGATAGTACAGACCAACTGTACTTAACAATATTTTGCCAGAAGTAAACAAAAATGGTGACGATTCAATTAAATTCAAGTGGACATTCATTTATGCTCTTATGAGTTCGTATATGAATCCAACTTGCAGAACCAAATTTTTTTTTTTTTTTCATAATATACTCAACGAGTTGTCTGGTGTCCACCAGCAATCCTCGAAACAGTCCTTCCAGATTTTGTCAAAAGTCTTTCCTTAGAGGTCCGTATTTTACTTTCTCTAAGCATGTATTGACTTTCCAGACATCATCGATTAGATACTGTAAATCTTAAGTTAGAATGTTCATCAAAGCACTTTCTAGGGTTGTATACTTTGAAGGACTCAGCTTAGAACTTCTGATCCAAAGAAAACAACTCAAGCTTCAGACTTTAAGCTCCTTTCTGCATTGATAATATAGACAAATAGATAAAATTAACACCTTACAACAGTTCTGAAAACTACAGCTGAGTGATCTCTTCAAAACATAAGTGCTCTCTGCTTTAAATCCACAAATGAAAAGTTGGGTGAAGAATTAGCGTTTCAGAGATGAGCATAAATCAACTATATGTCCAAAAGTCGGACGTTGATAGATGACTATTAAGTGGTGCACTGAACATGGCCAAGATTAAACTAAAGCTAACACCAAACAGACATAAAGAAGTAAAAGCTCAAAGAAGAGTATATGGAGCATCATTCTAGTGATGTATTATTGAAATAAATATTGAATTTGAGCTTACAGGGTGTAAAGCTAACACCAAACAGACATAAACAAGTAAAAGCTCAATGAAGAAGAGTATACGGAGCTTCACTCTTGTAATGTATTATTGAAATCAATATTGAATTTGAGTTTTACAGAGTGTAAGCTTTGTGGCTGATGCATGGAGATTATGCATACAGGATCAGAATATCTACTCTGTGCCATGAAATGAATCTCAGAGCTTAGTTGCCGTGCTTTCTGAATACAAGTAATGACTATACAAAAAGCAAGTTTTAGGAGATCAGTTGTATTGGGTTCTCAGCAACTTCAGTGTACCAAGATTTCCAAGCTTCCACATAATGTGCAAAAAGATCTCTCAAAGCTGAAACATCAGAAGCACCAAAATTCTATTAGTAATGAATCACATCAGGCTCCTTTAGGGTTCAATGAACAAAAGGTATATACCTACCATCATCAAGTTATTCAGATCCTATCATTTTTTAATTGAAATCTGATCGACAATATGAAGGCTGTATAGAAAACTGGTAAACAGACAATCTCGAAAATTGAAATTTATGACTGAGTGAATGATAGTACTTTTTTTTTGGGCAAGTATGAGGTCTTGAACCCAGGACCTCCTACTTATAATCCCTCCTACTTGAAGAAGAGGATGTAATCACAAAATGGACAGGTAGCTTAACACAAGACAATAGACTATAGGAAGTAACAATCATTGTAAAACATAATCTGTATGTAGAGAAGTATCAATGTAAGAATAACATCTAAGTAATCACCTAAGCATAGAATTCTAGTCAAAACATGTAACTATCCAACACACCAAACAGCACAAAATGGAGAAACTGGAAAAGAGAAAAACTGCACATTTAAAACTGTTACTGGAATGCCTCATTTATAGGTTTCCTGAAGGCTTATACGGTCAAATGTACTTTATTGTGTGATCAAGCATAATACCTTGATTATGGTACTGAGGGCGATAAGTAGCTGCTAGACTTTCCCAATCATGACTCTGTGTTTCTTTGTTATCCTCAGAAGCTGCAACTTGCGGTGCATTCACAGGGGCAAAAGGACCAAACCGGTAACTTCTTGTGCTGGCTCTTGAGTCAATCTGCAATTTTGGTCGAAGAACCTCATCTTCCAAAGCCTCACGTTTTACTTGTGCTTTAAGTTGTACCTTCATGCCTTGTTGCAATCCTCCATCCCCCACCGGTTCCACCTTACTCCTCTTAACTGTCATATTTGTCAGATCCATCCCAAACGCCCTTTTCTTAGACCCATCAATAGCCGAAGGATCAGCTCCGCTTTCAGATATACCTTTCATACCCAACCATCTAAAAGCAGGTTTTCTTGTTTCTGGATGATGCGTCTGTGCGTCATGCAAATGACAGGTGATTAATACATAAATGTTGCCATTAAAGCTTCGCTCCAAATCCTAAGAAGTTCCATGCTCTCCAACTCATAGTTTGAATACAGTTTAATGTTCTTGCACCAATGCCATATAAAATCTTAACCATTCTACATGACTAGGTTATTTTCCTTGAGGCCTGTGCATTACTATACACATACTAGAAAAGATGGGATTACCTTCTCAATAAATTTCATTGAAGCCAACACATTGGCAATGTCATACAGCCTTCTGACTTTACCTGCAGCATATCATGGAAAACAATGTTAGCATCCACATCCAGATATCTACCAAATACAATGAAAGTCAAATTGACAAGGTAATTACTTCTTGTCATTGCAGGATCCTTTCCATTCTTAAGCAATATCTTTGCAGCATCATCAAGAGAAATCATGTCCATCTACAAGAACATAAATCAATTCAGGCACCCAAAAGCTGAACAGTGTGACTGATTACGCCAGCAGGAAAGATTAATCATTCAAGCCGTGGTTTCACTTACATCCATACAAAGGAATAGCTTAACAAAGTTTTGGGTGAGCAATGCCAAAGACTTCTCTTTCCTGTTGTCAGCTGAAGTACAGGATGATAAATTAGTCTAACAATTCAGATAGAAGTCTAGCACAAAACTGACTGCACAATAAGCAGCAGAGCATATCATACAGTTAAGAAGCAAATAGTAGTACCATATTTGGATGACTGTGGAAGCTTTGGAGCAGAAATGGGGTTGAAGTTGTGATTCTGACTCGAGTAGTTGCTAAGATTTGAGTAGGTATCGTCCTCCTCATCATCTGAAGTCTAAAAGGAGAAAATGGTACACATATCATACAAGAGCACAAAATATGGCAGGAAACTGGAAGGAAGAAGAGTTATGAAAATGGCCAAGCATACTTTTACAGACGAAGTTCCATCATTTGCATTCTCATTCGTCACCATACCTTGTTCCTATGACACCGTGAGAGCACAGTTGAGTACCATTTTCCCACAAGAAAGATTAAACATGACAAGGGGGGAAGAAAAAGAAAGAAGACAACCAACCAACCAACCTTAAGAAGTTGCAAGGCAGAAGGAATTGCGCCAAAACCTTTCCAAGTATAGCGATTTTTGGCCTTCCTAGCAAGAACCTGAGCCGATGAAAATTCCAAGACAGCAAGGTCAGGTTTTTTTGGCCCAATTCATTTAATTTTAGAAGGCCTAGACTGAAGTATAAAAATATAGTAATACTATAAATCTGAAAAAAAAGAGAGGGAAAAAAGAAAGAAAGAGAGTCTTACACCAACACTCTCCAAGACATTGACTATGTCATAGATCCGCCGCCTCTCAACCCCTAACATCATAGTAATAGAATTAATATAGTCAATTGGAAGAATCCGAAAAGGAACATCTCTTGCTGCTACTAATTCACGTGCAGGGGAAAATTAACAAACAAACAAAAAAAAAAAAAGAGGAAGAAGAAAGGGAAAATGGCGAAGGAAGTAAGTGAAAATTGGAGATGAGAAGCAAGGTACCTACCCAAACGAGCAGCGGCGTCGTCAAGGCCTATAGTCTCGACACCTTCCCTATCGTATAATCTCAAGAAACTACATTATTGCATTCAAGATACATGTATCAGACATTTTTAGTCTGTAAAAAATGAAACACGAAAATTGATAGTACTATGCGGTAGTAGAAATGAAAATTGGAAAAGGACATGAATAGCGGAGAAAGAAGAAGAAGAAGAAAAGGTAGTGGTGGTAGCAGTAGTACTTGGAGCATAAGAGGCCGAGAGATTTCTGTTTACGGCAATAAATGTGTTGAGATCCACCGCCACCGCCACCACCACCACTACCTCCAGCAGCGGCAGCAGCAGCTGCTTCGTACGCTTGATTTGCTGAGGGCAGCAACTCCATTCCCATTCTTCTTCTGCTGCTGCTACTACTGTGCGAGTAATGCGAGAGAGAAAGAGAGAGCCGTTAAGAAGAAGAGGAAAAAGAGAAATAGGGATTTTGGCGGAATTAGAAAAGGAGATCTGGGAACGAAAGGAAGGATTTTGAAAGTTCGAATGAAAGCGCCAACCCCCTTTTTTATTTTATTTTATTTTTTTGGGGTGGGTACTAAAAATCTGAAGCCCGGCCGGCCTGTATGTGCGGAGGTGTTATTTACCATTTTGGCCTTCCACAATTCTAACGTCAATCGGCGGCAATTTATCTGGTCAACTCAGCTCTAGCCCAGGCAAGGGAATAAATACCAGGGCTGACTATGACTTCCTAACCTAACCTAACCTAACCTAACTAACGGATCAAGGGCTCGAACTCTTGTCGTCATAATAACCGTTTCGAACGATGTATAATTCTATGTGAACTATTCATAAAACTTAATAATAGAAACATAATTATTATATATGGATTCATATGAACGGTAACAAAATATCACATCTCATGTTATAAAAATGTACAAAAAATTTACATAAAGTTATAAAACATTAAAAAAAAATGTTAAACTATTCAAGGAACTGTTTCTGCCCCACTCCCCTAACTAACGAACCCAACCATGTGGGGCTTTTTTTATTAGTATCTTTATAAAATACTACAACTACATAATACTAGTACGATTTAGAGTGTTTACTGCTTAATTAATTGTGTAATATATCAGATAAGCCAAAAAACCTTCCAAGAAATTGCACTTATTAGTGCTCGCCCTATAACAGTTGAGTTGCCATTGATACGAAAAGAGTAGTACATTAAAATTTCTAAAACTCAGAAGGAACCTCCGAAGGAGTAATAGTTAAGTAGTTTTTATGATGGGAGATGGTTTTATTGAAACTAGAAACGTTTGTTACATTTAGGAATATGATCAAATATCACATGCCACGTTATTCTATCTACTAAATTTTAGTGTGTTTTTTCCATTCAAAATCCAAAAAGTATAACACCGACATACTTACCAATTACAATTTTCAATTGACATGCATTGGGACTCTCATCTCATTAAATTGGAATTAGGCGCCAAACCTTTTATTATTGTTAATTAACTTCACTATTCAATCTTACTCGATGTTACAACGTTTCCATGAACATGTACATGCAAATGGTGTCCACCTAAAATAGTGATCATTTAGTATAAGCCTTTATAATTTTTTTGACCAAAATTTTCAATAATGAAGTGTGAACAAAGGGTTGCTTGCCATTGCCAACAAAATAAATAGGAGTACTAACTCAAGGAACCGACAAGAAGAGGTTTTATGTTGCTAGCTCTTTTATTCCTTGGCCGCCTTAGTAGGGATGACAATTGGGACAGATACCCCTGAAATGGGGATAAAATGCTCCGTCCGTTGAAAAACGGATCGGGGACTATACCCCTATCTCATCCCTTACCCCGTCCCCCGCTTAAATAAAATAATATATATATTAATTGTATTTATAACATATTTAATATTATTAGTTATAAATATCAAATTATGCATGTGTATTATAATTAATATTATTAGTTATACTAATAATTATATATTTATATTAATACAAATTATTGATTAGTTGTACCAATATATTTATACTAAGTAACTAATTACAATTTTTTACTAATCTACATTTATTCTATTAGATACTTTTTATTAATTATATATTTATACTAAATTGCTAATTATATACTTTTATTAATTATAAACTTTGGCCCCGCGGGCGAAGTGGGGCGGAGCAGGGAGCGGGTGACGAGGGGCGATCCCTACGCCTTTGAAACCAGATGGATAAGCTCATGTCCTGTATTACTCTTCAATGACTCGGAAAATGTTTCACATTCATTACTAGCTTCACATTGAGATCCTCACTAGCTACCTTGAAGGTCCTACATGTAGGATAGGATATCTGCACTATGTTGTTCACGGTTTCACTTACCATAGGATCATGTTGACGATCTCCAGTACACCCTTCATCTGTGGTTCAGTTATGAGAAATACAGGAGTATGCAGTTTAAGAATGCAGGATGATCCCTAGATATTAACAGTCGGATTCAAAGAAATAGTATGCATTTGACCACTAAATGTAGATCACTACAACCCCTGAAGCAAAATCCAGCAGCCCAATTCAACTTGAATTATGCCCAGCAGGTTTCAGACACCAGAGGGGATCTCGTAGCATCTCCTTCAACAACTGCACCAGGCCCCTGCATGAATCACCGGACAATATCGTTCTTATCACTTGCTGTATATTCTCTCTTGCAATTGACTTTGCAATCCACCAGGTACTGAAATCAACTTTCTTGAGCGCAAGATACTTGAAGCATCACACTTAAAACAGCCTCTGAGAAATAGTAATGCAAAACATCAGAGGGACTTTGATCAATTGGGGCATAAATTCTCAATTCTTCAAATCTTGAGAGATGATCACCAATTAAATAATAAACTAGAATGAACTACAAAATGCATCCTTAAAGAAATGGAGAAACAAATAAGGACTTATCAAGAAGTGACCCAAGGGACGAAGACCTTTTCATAGGTTTTATTGATCTCAGATGTCCATAATGAGAATCACATCTCTTAGAACTTGTACAAGGGAAATATACTGGTGTTGAAATGGGCAAATAAAAACAGAATTTGTTCCAAGAATAACAATCAAGTGATCAAGAAATAGAATGGCAAGCACCCCTATTTTGATACATTATACAAACCACAGTGAAATAGGATCAGATGCTAGTAGCATAGGCCTGGGATAAAGATACCAGTATCCTGCAAATCGGCAAAAGGTGCTATCATTTGCATCACAAAAGGAATAGTCCAGGTTTTGCATTCCAATCAATACAGTACCTTCCAGGTTTTCACCTACCTAAGCAAAGCTGAGCAATATGGTGGCAATCTGGAAAGCCATAGTTTCACTTCCATCTTCAACTCTTCAGCTAAAAGCTGACATGTACCAAGAATTTCACAACTTAGTCCAGTGACAAACACCAACTCAAGTACTTCATAGATAGAATAAACGACATATACAATACCATGTACAACTTCTGATATGGATAATAAAGCAACTGTTGATTCTTAACTGAGACAGTAATAAGATGGAACAACCCCTGTATTAACTACTTCTATAAGAATATTGCTAACATTGAAAATATAGCAAAATGCCCAGCTACACCACTGTGGTCTATGATCAAGCGCTTCCTGTAGGCTTTAGACCATTAGTTTTCTGCAGCCTGTGTATAAACTCGGCATTTTACTGGCTGTAATTCCATCCTTCACTGGCTTTCTTATCATTTATCTCCAAGAGGATATTAACATGATCTATATCTTCTTCTTTCTTTAAGTTCTTTATTGACTGGATGGTACAAAAGCAAAGAATGCGAATCTTACAAATTGATTGCCTATTTTCTTCGCAATTTTGACTTACAAGCAATTGTGATAGAGTAATACAAAAGCATGCATGTTCTGAAGTTAATGCAATCAGCAATAGGTAAGTTCCTCCCTTGCTCCAGAACCGTAAGGCCAATCCTTCATTAGGTACTTCCCACTCCAAAAAACACAAAGCAAATGGACTCCAAATGCAGAAGAGAGTACCCACGTTAAAGAATATAAAGGAAAGAACAAAAGTACCTAAAACAGAAACAATCATCAAAAGGTTTGCAAAAGTTCCACCTTGCCTTTCCTTTCGCTGGCACAATTCCATCATTTACTGAATACTTCCTCTCCTATTCTCAGTCTCAAGAAGAAAAGCTGAATTAGATAACTAGTAGTATGGAGAAACAAGTTTCTGTTTGTTGAATTAAGCTGAATTAGATAAGACAGAAACATAAGCACAAACAGGATGTCCCACTGATAGACTCATTTCTCAAGGTCCCAACCTTTAACTGGCTCACAGGAAATATGCTAACAATGCATGTAAAATGTTACAATTATAGACCTTTGTTAATCCAATCTTGAGAAAGAAGCCTAGTAAGCAAATAGTCATAAAGGAAAATTTTGATTGTGCAGATATTATATATTGACACAAAGGTGATTGTGGCAACAGTTAAGTGAAAGAAATTCTCCAAATGCAAACCAAAGCAACCAAAAAAAAAAAATGCTATCAAGTATAAAATCATCTATTTCCAAGAATATAAGCTTCAAAACAATATGTCTAGCACGCCCAGAACTGGAAAACGATCCTATTTATAAATACAGTTTGCCACAAGGAATTGACCCAAACAAAAAAGCAAAAGTTCGCATTTTCAACAATTTGACCATTGATAGTACCAAAGTTCAGTCTAAATATCTCGCTCCAAGACATGAATGTAACAAAATTGTCTTTCATCTAGCACTGCTAGTTTCATAGAACACAATAATTAGTTTTCAGTTCGAAAATTAAGCTGAAGTTTCATCAAATCCTAAACCTCAAGTATATCAAGTGAAGACAATGCAGAAGACAAACTTGCATGCCAATGGAAAAGGTTGGACCATTGCAATCTTTAAAGCAAACATACTTTGCCTGAGGTAATGCAACACAATCATAGTCTGAAATGATGAGGAAGCCGGCCAGATCTGCTTTGCAGTCGCAAAATCTCTCTAGCAAATTCTTGATTACCCGTAAGCAAAAGCCCATTCAGAATGCGGTTGAAAGTAAACCTTCGAGGCAGAAATCCTCTGTCAATCATTTCTATCAACAACTTTCCTGCCATCACCAAATCATCTGATTTCTTTCTGACAAACATTGCACTGATCAAGATGTTATAAGTATCTAAGTTAGGTAAGCAATGCCCGCTACCCATTTTCTCAAACAATTCGAAGGCCTTCTCAAATTCTCCATCATCACAATAATATCGAATTCCAAGATTGTATGTCTGAACATTAGGCTCACACTCATCTTCTTTCATCTTGTCCATATACTCAACTGCCCTGTCCATTTTACCGACATGACACAAACCTCTAATGAGCACATTATAAGTAGTGACATTAGGTAAATAGCCCTTCCGCAACATCTCATCAAACACCAAAATTGCATTTTCCACATTGTCTTTCTTACATAAAACTTGAATCAGAGCATTGTAAGTTGCTACTGAGGGAAGCACTCCAGCTCCAACCATCTCATCAAACAGCTTACGGGACCTCTCAACCTCGCCTGCAACACCAAAACCGTGAACCATAGTAGTATAAGTCACCACATCAATCTCACATTTTCTCCTCTTCATTTGCAAGAAAAACTCCCAAGCTTCCCTCGTTTGCCCTGCTCTAAAGAAACCTTTAAGAATTATATTATAAGTCATCACATTTGGCTCCAATCCTCTCTCCACCATTTCCTTCAAAATTTCCAATGCCTTTGGCGTTCGCTTCATTATACAATACCCATTAGCGAGAATGCTATAACTAATCATATCAACTCTAAACTTCCTCCTAAACACCTTAAACAGATTATAGGCTATTTCAGCATGCTTCGCCTTACAGAGCACATCAAGAAAAGAATTGAACGAAGTCAAATCCTGAGGACAACCATGTTTATGCATTGACAAGAAAACGTCAACCGCCTTATCAGCTTTGCCAGAAGCCACATACCTTTCGAGGATGATGGCGAAGGTTTTCGGGCCGGGACCGAGCTTTCTGGCCCGCATTTGAGCCACAAGGGCCCATAGGGTCTTGTAATCCCGCATTCTGGCAGCAATGTCGATGGCGTAGTCGAATGCGGTGGCGGAGTGGGTGTAAGAGAGATGGGAGTCGAGGACTTTGAAGAACTGGAGAGCTTTCGGGCCATGGTTCCATAGGCGTTTGAGAATCGTGTGGACAAGCTCAGTGGTCCATTGCACATGGGTGGGTAGCTGTTGAGTTAAAATTTCTGGGTTTGTCTTGAGAACGAGGTTGGTTATGGAGGTGATGTCCACCTCCGCCACTGCCGGTAGTGGCGGAGGAGCTATGTGGGGTTTCAGAGGGTTTTTTGCAGAGGAGAAATCGGGGAACTTGGGGCCTGCCGCTGTTTTGTGTAGTTTTGACATAATTTAAATTAGCAAGACGGTGGCAGAAGAGACCGCAAAACGCCTCCGTTCTATCATGCTGCTAAAGGAAATGGACGAGGATGGCAACACTGGCCGGCGGTGGCAAGCGGGGAGCTTCCACCGGTGGCAGAAGATATACATAAAATGAAGAGGGGGAAAAAAAGGAAGAAAATGGAAAAAAGTAATGGAAAGATTTCATACAAAGTCCTTCATATTTTCAAATTATCCATTTTTAGCCCCTCATATTTTCAAAGTGGTGCATTTCAATCCCCAACATTAGCGTAGCTGCATATTTTTTTGTCACACGGTAACAATTTATTCGTTGAAAAGAAGGAAAATGATTAGCAGAAATTTTGAATTTCGACACAGGTATTTCATCAAACATCAGCAGCCCGCGCTCCACTTTCCCCCCAAACCCACCCACCCTTCCTCCGCCGCCCTCCGCCCCTCATCCGCCTAAAACCACCCCATCTCCGCCCCAGAAGTACGTGCATTCCACACTGACTATGTGTGAGAGCATGAAAGTATAGAAACTAGTAAAAAAGATCCATTGGGAAAATGGCGAGCAAAGAGACCTGTAGACAAGAGCTCCGCACAGCAATCCGCCAACTCAGTGACCGCTGCCTCTACTCCGCCTCCAGATGGTACCCGCATCTCCCCTCTGGGAACCCAGAAAATACTTTAATTTTCATTTAATTTCTATGACGGGTTTTCTCATTTTTCTTAGTTTCTGATAATTGTTTCCGAAATTTCAACATTTTTAAGGGCAGCGGAGCAGTTGGTGGGGATTGAGCAAGACCCAGCAAAGTACACCCCGTCACATACGAGATTCCAGCGCGGCAGCTCCAGCATTCGCCGGCGGTTTCGCACTGACGGCGCCGGGGATGCTGCGGCAGCCTTTAACTCCACTCCCGTTGCCGGCGTGTCATTTATATCTACCCCACTGGCTTCTGAGGAGGAAAACGACGCCGTGGAGAGTGATTTTTATTTGTTGGCGAAGTCTTATTTCGATTGCAGGGAGTATCGGAGAGCAGCCCATGTGCTCCGCGAGCAGACTAGCAAGAAAGCTGTGTTCTTGCGCTGCTATGCGCTATATTTGGTTATTTTCTTCGCTCATCCTTGACATTTGCTTCTGTCTAGTATTTTGAGTTTTCTCCCTTTTTTGTTGTTTTCAATGGTAAAGTAGTTTATTGAATTTGATTTCAGGAGCACTCAAGTTGGGATTTTGGTCTTAAGTGATGTGTTGAATTATATAGACACTGACGGCCACAAAATACACATTTTCCACGTTTAAGTTCTTTAGTTGCGTCAGGTAGTCTTAAGTGCTGGACTTTCACAAAAAGAAATGATTCTGCTACCTTGTTGGTTTATACATAACCCATCCACAATAAAATAGGTCGCAACAATGAAAAGTTGAATAACTTTGCATTAGTTGCACAGGCATTAATTGCATTGCCTGCAGTGGAGTTGCAAGTTGAAATTTGAGCTATTTGATTAACTTGGGATGTTAGCATTAGGTTTAGGAAATGTACCATTTGTTTTGCCAATTGAACGATAAATGCTGCCTTGCATTCCAGTTTCAGGAAAGTGTTTGAATATGTGTGAGTTTAGGAGCAAGCTTTCATGCATTGGTACTTTTGTTTGAGTCTTTTGGTCTTTTCTACATTCAAAGTTGATGTTGTGCAAATAATGGAAGTTGGAGTGGACATGGAATTCTCCCAGAAGGCAACCTAAACTATCCCCTGAAGCAGTTAGAAGCCTGATATGAATGAAAAAAAGTACTAGACTAAGACAAATGACAAGTTCAATTAAACGGTAGACTATAATAAGAATAACAAAGCTAATAGTGGTCTAAATATAAGTTTCCCCTGACACTGCTATATAGTTTACATTTTGGGTTTGGGAGTGAATGATTTGGCTCGCTGGATCCGTCACAGTACCATCTTGTATATATCAAGTTTTCTCATACACAAACTCTTACTTATTTTCTACTAGAAATCATTAGTAATAACTACTCCCTCCATCCCATTGATAATCTCATACTTTCCTTCTTGGTTATTCCTCAAAATTTGTGCCACTTTCCAAATAATGCACAAAGTTTCCCTTTGCAGGCCCACCAACTTTGTTTTTGACTGTTGCTAGGTAATGATGTGAACTCTCGTATTAGTGTGTGAATTCCATGAGCCACAGATGAGCGTTTATGCACCTTTAAGGGATTGTTCACTGACTTGCAAATTTCCTTGGCAACCCAAAATGATTATTCTGTAATTTTGAAATTTAAAAACACTGGCAGTTTAGCCCCAAACACATGTTTCAGATTTTTATATGCCCGGGGAATGAAGGGAAGAAGAGCTGAAGTTTACAAAAGCTTTTCACCATTGATAGATGGAGTAACAAATGGAATTTAGATATTCATTTGATCAGCTAGCTATTGTTATGCTTTATTTCTTTTCATGTTGTTTTATTTTGTTGAACTCAAAATTTCAAAACAAGAACTAATTAAGAAAGAAAATGGGTCCTATTCTGTGACCTCAAGACACAGAGTAAAGGGTAGGCTGCATGTCATTTTTTCCATGAAAAAATAAGTTTTTCGTTGGAAAAGCCTATGCAAGTTAGGGGATTGGGGGTAATTTAGTTTTTATAGTGGCCCACCTTCTCTTTTTGGTGTATTATCCTAAGGGCACAATTAGAAAAATGGAAAGAAATTAAAGGAGAAGAATACTTGTGGCTGTATATCCTGTAAAATATTGAGATTGAGTTGCTGGTGAAGCATGAAGAGAAGCGTCATTCTGTGGTTCAAATTGTATTTGCAAGAGCCTGAGATTGGTTTTGTGGTTAAGTACAATGATGTTCCTTTGTCCTAATCATGATGTACTTGCAAGAAGGTTCTATGGCTATTATGCATTACCTGTAATGCTTAAAGCATTGAATGGGTAGAGTGTACTTGCAAGTCTATTATGCATTACCTGTAATGCTTAACGTGCAAGAAGGTTCTATGTCTATTATGCTCTAAAATTCTAGCAATGGGGATTTTGGATGTCATGACTTTAGTACTTTCCTTTGGCTTCTTAACAATTGAACCACCTTTGGAGTTGGAGGGCTAAATTTCAATTATGGGTTCCAATTTTGGCTGGCTGTAAAAGTTTCAAGCTGTTGAAATGTCTAATTTTGTGTGAAGTGCAAAGTTATAGAAATTAATAGAAGATTGACAAATCTAGCTGACCAGTAATGATCATAGCCAATACTTTATTTTAGAAGCTTGGAGGATGATATAATGAAATATGAGGACTGTATGATAACATTCTTGTGTTTTGAGTTCCGATGCCATCCTTCAACTACACCCCCCCCCCCCCCAAAAAAAATTTAAAGAATCAATCGGGTCCAAGTTGTAATTATGCTTCTTGTTGGAAAGTAAATTTGAATAGTTTGGTTCCATGCTTATTTTTCAAGTTAGTTCTTAGATTTAGTAGTGCTTGGTCATACTTACTATGGCCTCACTTTTTCTGTATGCTAACAAGCTTATCCTTGATTTCCAATGCCAATCTTCAACTCGACCTGCTATAATTTAAAGTTTAAATCTGGGATGGCATAGTGATTGTGCTTGTTATTGAAAAGTTAACTTTAGTAGTTTGCTTGTTGTAGGCGAAGTTGGTTTCTTAGATTCCTGTACAGTTTGGTCATACTTTTCTACTTTTCCTTCAATAGGCTGGTGAAAAGCGCAAGGAAGAGGAGACGATGGAACTAGAGGGACCTTTAGGGAAGAGTGATGCTGTAAATAAAGAACTAATTTCACTTGAGAGGGAGTTGTCAGGACTTCGCAAGTGTGGAACAATTGACTCGTTTTGTCTTTTTCTGTATGGTCTCGTTCTCAAGGAAAAAGGCAATGAGGGTCTTGCTCGGGTTGTTCTTGTAGAGTCTGTAAACAATTACCCTTGGAACTGGAGTGCTTGGTCTGAGCTGCAGTCACTGTGTACTACAGTTGAAATACTGAATGGTCTTCATCTCGTTAACCATTGGATGAAAGACTTCTTTCTTGCCAACGCGTATCAGGAACTTCGTTTGCATAACGAGTCATTGGCAAAATATGAATATATACAAGGAACTTTCAGTTTCAGCAATTACGTACAGGCTCAAATTGCTAAAGCTCAGTATAGTCTGAGGGAATTTGAACAAGTTGAAGTTATATTTGAGGAACTTCTGAGGAATGACCCGCACAGAGTTGAAGACATGGATATGTATTCCAATGTGCTTTATGCAAAGGAGTGTTTCTCAGCTTTGAGTTACCTTGCACATAGAGTATTTTTGACGGATAAATATAGACCAGAATCTTGTTGTATAATTGGAAACTATTACAGTCTCAAGGGGCAGCATGAGAAGTCAGTTATGTATTTTAGAAGGGCGCTTAAATTAAATAAGAATTATTTATCAGCTTGGACATTAATGGGTCACGAATATGTTGAGATGAAAAACACCCCAGCAGCTGTTGATGCCTATCGGAGGGCCGTAGATATTAATCCGTGTGATTATCGGGCCTGGTATGGGTTGGGCCAGACATATGAGATGATGGGAATGCCCTTTTATGCACTGCATTACTTTAAGAAGTCAGTGTTCTTGCAGCCAAATGATTCTCGGTTGTGGATTGCCATGGCTCAGTGTTACAAATCAGAAGAGCTTCACATGCCTGAGGAGGCAATTAAGTGTTTCAAAAGGGCTGTGAATTGTAATGACCGGGAAGCGATTGCACTTCATCAGCTAGCCAAGTTGCACCGAGAACTTGATCGTTTTGAAGAGGCAGCATTTTACTACAAGAAGGATTTGGAGAGGATGGAAGCTGAAGAAAGGGAAGGGCCAAACATGGTTGAAGCTCTGTCTTTTTTGGCCAGATATTGCAAAGATCAGAAGAGGTTTGAAGAAGCAGAGGTGTATTGTACCCGTCTTCTAGATTATACTGGCCCGGTAAGTCCTGAACCTGTTCTCCTTAATCTAATCTCAGATTAGTTTCATACTCATTGGTTTTGATTTACTGAGTGACACTTCTTTGACCCTGATGCAGGAAAAGGAAGAAGCAAAAAGTCTTCTTCGAGGGATAAGATCTGCCAGGGATGTTGAGCTCTTTCCGCCTTAAGTTCTCTCCTTCATACCTTACATGCAAATAGAAATCATGAAAGAGTTATGGAAATTGGGTTTCAGATAATTGACTGACGTGAAAAAAAGGTTGAAGAGCTCACATGAAACAGCAAGTATTTAGGTGGCAGAACTTCTATTGCTGTTGTTTACTTGTTAAAGTACTGACAGTTTCCTGTCAGAAATTTGTTGCAGTCTTTTCACAATCTACTATTTGTTTATCCTTATTCTTTACAAGAAGTAGTCACTCTTATTGGGACCGTATTTTTATTTACTGGAAGATGGTAACTTGTAAGTGCACTCCCCTTCAGTAAAGTGAATGCATTCTCTTTGTCCCATATCCCCCCTTCCCCAACAGAAAAACCATCATCTCATCAAGGTAGCTTTCAAAAAGAATCGGATCCTTTTCAGTTGGTGAAACTTTTCTAATGCTTGGTTGTTGCTATAGTATGTCTCATCTCTCGTATGAATTTAGCTGTGCTCCATGTGAAATCTTCCATGAGATTAATTGAAGTGGAGCGGGTAGCTGAAACCAGTTTGAGGGAGTTGTTTTGTGTTGCATCATTTGGTGCCTCTTGCAAGAGTCTCAGCAGGCTATTGTCCTCAGTTATGGTTTTCGCTATCGGGAAATTGAATCTTATTGAATGGCTACAAGTATTTCTCAAGTGCTCACGAAAAGAATATAATTATTGTATTGGTAGTAATTTAGATTTACTTACTGATGAATTTGAATCTACGTCTAATTTAATTAGTTCTAAATAGGTAGTCCCAAGCTATCTATTTAATAGCTATTAATTAATGGGCTTAATTAGGTTATCCGCTTGAAACTAATAAAATTGCATATCCATATTTATTTATTGAAGAACAAGTTGAAAAATTAGTCACTATTTATAACTATAGATGGGTGGAAAAAATAGCAGAATAGAAGCGTCTGTCTACTGTGACTTAGCTGTGGCCCAAAGTATTAGGAGCCTCCTCAGAATTAGGAATGTACTCAAAACTACATAACAAAACGTTTTCCCTTAATGGTCATGCAGTTCAAAGAAGGGTTAATTACATTCACCTCTTTTGTGGTTTGGCCAAATTACCATTACATCCCCTCAAATTTTAAATATTACAATTACCCCCTTTGACTTGATGGTCCAATAACAATCATCCCCTCACCGTAAAAGAACCAACGTGTAGTGACCATGGTTCGAAGACTCGGCTGAGCCGAGTCGTCACCGTCTCGGCTCAGTCCGATACGATACCGAGATACTTGACTCGCCGAAAAATCGGTCGAGACTTCACCGCGACGGATTGAAACGATCAAGTCACACCGAGTCACTCCGAATTATCCCGAATCAAGCTGAATTCAACAAAAAATCTTTAGAAAAAAAAGGATTAAAAAAGGGAAATCTGAAGACCTCTCTACCGCCTGTGTCAATCTCCTGTCAAGTATGCTAGTACTGATGCTCCTTCATACAGGGAAAGAGATGCGAGTGATTGGCACGTTATAAAAGACTTCGTGGGGCCTTTTTTTAGATTAATCATAGTTGTTCCCTATTCTATTACCAGATATAATTGGGACAAGCTCATCCGAAACACCAGACATAATTGGGAGAAGCACTAGGACCGCAGCTCAATTACATCGACCCTTGAAGTAAAAACTACAGTTAGATCCCAACACACGAAAAGGAGAAGTCAATATCGAAATCATTCATTAGGAAATAGAAACAAATTTGCCACAGTACTGATCACGTGAAAAGATGCGTTTATATTATTCCAACTTGGTTCAAGTATATGTACCTTCACTTTACTTTTCTTTTCTTAGTACTGTCTGATTCTCTAAACTCTTTTGCTTTGTTTTCGAACTTTCATGCGGATTTGGTTCTTATCTGTTAGCTCTAAATAAGAAGACATATGAGCAGGCAAGAGTAAGCACTGCGGGAAATCTTCCGGGCAGCTACAAGGAACCTGGGATTAGTTGGATGATCGGTTATCTCTGTGCAATTAGTTTCATTGGTCTTTTTGTGTTGATTCCACTCCGAAAGGTACATGGAGACGAATGTATATGACATTTGTCTTTATTGTTGGTTTTGTTCATTTTCCTATACTTTTGTTCATCAGATATGCTGCAATTTGTTAAGTTTAACATCTTTTTTGGTCAAGTTTCGCTCTATTTTTTGAGGGAGAAATTTGCAAAGTTGCATTCATATCTGTGATTTGGATCCTACTCTTTAATTAGCTGCACTATAATAAATGGATACTTCCGAAGATTCCAGACTTTCTGCAAAACATTGATATATTGGTATATATGTATCCGATATAGCAGCATGACCAAATGATGGAATTTATTTCTTTAAGTTTTCTATACTTATTAGCAGGTATGAATTAGAAACATATTTGGATTAATTATAGCCCTTATGTAATAGGCCAAGGTTGGATTAATTATGATTGTGTCCAAAATAAAATTTAGAAATTTAGATTTATCTAGCTAATTGTGTTGTTGAAATTTATTTTGGGCCAAACATAAGTTTAACACTTATCTCACATATAATTCAAAGTACATAATAAATTAGTTCAAATTCATTTGATATTTATTGAAAATATTAAAATAACTGTTAGATCTTTTAATATAAAATTTTCTAAAATGCAGTAATAATTTTAATAAATATTTAAAATTTTGAAGTTCTTTTAATAAATGAAAAAATGATCATTGTTGCAGGTTTACATTATAGATTAGATGTTTAACTTACTAATATAATAGAAATAAATTATTACTATTATAAAATGTCAGAAACTACTTGTTGTATTTTTTTCATATATCTTTAATTATTTTGTGATGTATTAATCATTTATATTGACACGTGTAATAGTTACAATGACGAGCAAGGATATTGGTTAGGAACATAATAAACCCGTGGGTGAGAATAGAAAAATTGTGAGATACAATTATTGTAGAAAAGTAATGCATGGTGACATTACAAGGTTGAAAGAACATGTCGGTCATGTCACGGGCCAAGTTGAACCTTGTCCAAGGGCCTCAAGAGAAGTTAGAGATGTAATGAAAATGCATCTAAAGGCTGGTAAGATTCAACGAATTACAATAAAACAGAAAAAAGAAGAAATATTGAACTCTCTCCAAGAAAAAAATATGTATAGTAATTTCAACATGGTTGGCGACGAGGAGGACGAAGACATTTTTGAAATTGATGAAGAAAGTAGGATGGCATTGGAAAAAAAAACATATAAAGCAAGCAATTAGAGAGAGCCCATACTTGCAATTTTTAGATGAACAACGAAGGCATTCAGTATTTGGGAGTTGACCTTCTATGTTTATGTTAAGTATCATTTGTAAACTAAAATATTATAACAAATTTGATATCATTTTATTAAATATAATTAAATAAAGTTGTAATTTATTTATTCATTTTTTATTTGTTAAACATTGTGAATTTTAGGAAATGTGGGTGCTGGCACTTCAAAACCAACGACTTCTGAAAATAAAAGAGAATTGTCACGTAATTTCAGTGTCAGACAAGCGGATGAAATGACAAGCAGAGGAATTGGTAAGGCAGTTTCAAAGTTTTTTCATTTCAATGTTATACCATTTCATGCAGCTGACAATCTTTATTATCAATCAATAATTGATGAAATTGCCAAAGTTGGTTTTGGTATTAAAGGGCCTTCAGCTTTTCAAATTGGAAATGAATATTTAGACGAAAAATTTGAAGAGCTTGAGAAATATTTTGGAGATATTTATGATAAATTTTCAACTTTTGATCGTACACTTATGTGTGATGGGTGGAGCACTCGTACAAAACATCCAATAATAAATTTTATGGTATACTGTGATAGGCACATGATAAACCATAGTTCAATTGATTGTACCAATGTCAAGAAAACTGTCGAATATATTTTCAAGTTAATGGATGAGGTAGTAGAGGTTGTGGTAGAAAAAAATGTTGTGCAAGTTGTGACAGATAGTGAATCTAGTATGAAAGCAGCTGGACAACTGTTGATGAAAAAAAGAAAAAATCTATTCTGGTCACCTTACGCTGCTCATTGTATAGATTTGATGTTGGAGGATATTGGCAAAATAGATAATGTAAAAGAAACTATTGCTTAGGGGAAGAAGATAACAAGTTTCATATATAATAGCGACAAAGTAGTGAATCTGATGAAGACATATACAAGAAAAAAGAAACTGCTACGTCCAGGTATCACTAGATTTGCAACTGACTTCATTTCTATGAAAAGTCTTCTTCGGCATTCTACAGAACTGAAAAAAATGTGTACCTCAGATGAATGGGCAGAGTTCAATAACACTACCAAGAGAAAAGTAGAAGCTATTAAAGTAGCTGAGTTGATATTGTCAGAGAAGTTTTGGAAAAAAGTTAGAAATGTGTGTGCAATAATGGAGCCTCTGGTTAAAGTTTTAAAAACTATTGATCAAGATAATAAGCCAACATTGCCAATTATTTATGAGGCAATGGATAGAGCAAAAATGGCTGTTCAAAAGTCGGTGAAATCTGGAAAAACGATTTGGGAAGTGATTGATAATAGATCGTACAATCAACTTCATTGTGATTTACCAGGTAATTTAAAATATTACATCCAATTTAGATATGTGCAATTCCAAGACAGGCGCGGGGAAAAATTCGCATAGATAGGTTAGGCATGCCTTCGTTCAGGAGGAGGAAAGTAGGCTAGTCTAAGAGGTTGGCTAATTCGGGAGCCTTGGTTCTTTGTGTATCCATTTGGACCGCAATTGATTGAATAAAACAGATTAGTTTAAAAAAAATGTAATATATATGTATTTATTTATTTTCTAATTTTGTTATTTTATTGTATTTAGCATATTTTTTGAACCCGATCCTTCAATATTTTGGAACTTGTGAGTTTAATCTGGATGAAGTTCGAAAAAGGTTGAAGAAAGTCATTGCAAAGTTTGAGCCAAATTTAGATGCACAAGTTGATTCAATAAATGAGGTATTCTTTTGATTATTTTATTTATTTATATTAATGAACAAATTTTAAAATTTTAACACCAGTGTATATACTATTTTTGTAGATCAAAATTTTTGTAGAAAAAAAAGGAGGGTTTGGAAGTGCTATTGCAGCAAGAGCGTTACCAAAATCTTTACCAGGTTTCAACTTAATTCATACTTATATAAACATCTAAATCATATTAATGAAGTTAATATTTTTATAATTTTAAAATAATAATAATAAATTATTATTACTATTACTTTGTTTGTTTAGCTGAATGGTGGCTTAACTATGGTGAAGATGTGATACCCCAACTTTTAGGATACTATTGTTGTTTAGTTTCAAAAGAAAAAAAAATATTATGCTTCCTTTAGTTTATTTTTATTTTAAGACATTGTTTTGTTTTAAAGACTAGAAACCCTAAAGTCTAATCAAAACCCTAGTTT